CTCATGATATGAAGGTACGGAGGTTAAGATGGGCGGGGCATGTAGCTTGTAACAATCCGTCTGAAAGCCTCTACGAAAGAATGAATGCGTCAATAGAAGGTATATGTCTCTCACCACTACACTGAGTTAGAGTGGCTCTTCCCCTCCATTCGAAGACAATATTTCCTAGGTACATTCCTCTATCATATCATCAACAATCATCGTCCTTCCTACGCCTACAACCTTCTCCAATTCAAGTCCTCAGTCCACTCCCTCTCCACAAGATCTCAACCTTCCGACCTTTACATTCCTTCTCACAGATCTGCTTCGTTCCAAAACTCCTTTATTGCACGTTCTGTTAGTTTCTGGAATTCCCTTCCTATCAGAATTCGACATTCTTCATCCTTATCTACATTCAAAACCCTCCTATTCCAATTCCTGTCCCAAAAACCAGTCAGGCACCGGCTAACCTTTTATGTAAAATTACATATTATCTATAAGACCATATTCACATACAGCTCATACCTAAATACTTATTATAGATTCGACTTTCTTTTTTTTTTTTTTTTCTTTTTCAACAGAAACAGATTTTACTGTTCAGAAGAATATACATTTATTTTTTCTGTATTTTTTATTTTTTCTAAAAGGATTTATTTATATTTTAACATTGTACATAGTTTTAAGTATCTTAGTATGGTTTCAAGAGTTTTTTATATAGATTTTTTTATTTTATTTTGTATATAGTATGTATAACCAATATTATTTTCTTTTCTTTTTTTTAATGACCTATCTTTATCTTAATTTGTTATGTTTGTTTTTATCTGGCCAGATGTAAAATTTTAATTTCTGTACTTTTTCGTTATTCTGAAGGGACTTCGTCCCAGAATAAAATTATTTTTCTATTCTATTCTATAAGACCACGTCGAAGGTCAAAAAGCAAATGGATAGATAGAATCAATGCAATAGAGCTGCGTGCAGATAAATATAAATAAATAGCCCAAGACATGCAGAGATGGAGCAGGCTTGTTAAGGCGGCAAAAGATCTACATAGTCTGTAATGCCAACAGAAACAAAAAAACGAAAGTTGTGTGATCAACGCTGCACCAGATTTATTTTATTTTATGGTTGACGTTTATTTTTTATTTTTCTTCTAGGACACAATAGTTTAAAGTTAAAGAAGCTTCGTGTGAAATGAGGCACGTTTCTCTAAATAGCAACCGAAATATAACATTATAAATATCCCATTGAACGTGTTCTATCGCAGCGAGCTGGTTTTACAAAATTAGAAAATTATCGCCCAGTTGAAGCGATCAGTTCTTTACGATGTACAGTGTGGTATATTGATAACTAAGCAAGACAGAAATATTGGAAAAATAAGATGAGATTTATTTATTTATTTTTCATAGTTTCTTTCCTTATCTCGCTCCTCTTTCCTCATGTCAGCATTCACGCTTGTAATGAATAAGAGTGACAATTGAATCGGTGAGTGCAGAAACCACTTCAGTCAAAATAATCGTTTTCGATGAAAAGAAGCTTATAATGGCAAACGCGTGTTGAGTGTACGAACCACGTTAGTCTGTTGAGTAGTTCAGTAAATACATGACGTATGTTTTGATCATTCAGCGCAGAAATAACATGAGTCAGTGACTGATGTGGTTTCTGCACCCACCACTGGAGTGCATGACCAGCAGAGATGGGCATATTTATATTCATGGTACTTATGAATGTAAACATAAATATATTTATATTAATAAATAAAAAAAATTGAATACATATGACACGTATTCACAGCTGTAAATATAATACGGCCGTATTTACAATTGTAATAGTTTCTTTTCATCGTAGCCTACAACTATTTTACTATCGAAAACTCTTGGAATTGGAGCGTTTTAAATCTGAAGGAGGGCAATCTTTCTCTATTCAATTAGATAATAAAAACTCTTAAATACTCATTTGCTTTCTACTTGGATCGTAAGATAATATGATAAAATAATCTATAAAAAAGGTGGCCTACAAAAATATTTGGTCGTTTATCCTATATAACCTCCTTATTTTGAAAATTTGGGGGTGTAGTTCACGCCAAACGCCCTCTCGTTTCTAACCTTGCTTCCTCTTCAATTCCTGATAACCCTCCGAAGCGTCTGAAAAGAAGATGGCCCCGTGATCTCCTAATGTCGACATATCATTAGAGTGCTACCATTGGGTAGTTACTTAGCAAGTGTATTCATGTCATTATATCAATTATGTCCAAATTTACTAAATGTATTTTTGTAATACAGTTGTAAATGTCATTAAGAAATAAAAAAATTAAAAAAAATTACAGAAGTGAATAGAAATATTTCCATACAACCTGCTTAATGAATACTCATATTTATTTTAAAAAATATATTTTTATTAAATTATTTATTAAAAAATATATTTACTATATGCATAATTTTATTTTTGTAAATAATATTATATTCTTCGTTTTACAATATTCTATGTTAATTATGTTACAATGTATTGTGTTATGTTAATTATCACTCGTAATGTTTTTAAGTAATATAAATTCCCAAGCCTTATTAATTAACATTAAAGCAGCCCATGAATTATTATTATTTTATTTTCGAAAACTCTTCGAATTGGGGCGTTTTGAATCTGGAGGGGGGCGAACTTTCTCTATTTAATTAGATAATAAAAACTCGTAAATACTCATTTGCTTTCTACTTGGATCGTAAGATAATATGATAAAAAAATCTATAAAAAAGGTGGCCTACAAAAATATTTGGTCGTTTATCCTATATAACCTGCTTATTTTGAAAATTTGGGGGTGTAGTTCACGCCAAACGCCCTCTCGTTTCTAACCTTGCTTCCTCTTCAATTCCTGATAACCCTTCTAAGCGTCTGAATAGAAGATGGCCCCGTGATCTCCTAATGTAGTCATATTATTAGAGTACTACCATTGGGTAGTTACTCAACAAGTATTTCCACATCATTATATCCATATGTTCAAATTTACTAAATTTATTTCTTTAATACAGTTGTAAATATCATTAAGAAATAATAATATTTCTGAAAAATTATTAATACTGACTAAATGGCCCATACGATTAATTCGCAGACAATTTTCTTAAGTGAAGGAATAGCGAAACAAAATAGAAATAAGTAGATCCTATGTATTATGTGAGGAAGGAATTAATATTTTTTCTTGGTCGATTACAATATTCCATTTAACATAATAGACCAAAATATTTGTACAAATTGCTATTCTAGAGCCTTTTTCTAAACGCTGGCTGAAAAGGTAACATTCAAAATAAAGACTCAACCGTATGATTTTACAAATTACTAGCTTTACCCGGCCACGCGTTGCTGTGGCTTAGCCTGGCAAAATAGAGAACACATATGAGACTAATAGCAAAGGACATCTGTCATTTTTAAAAAGTTGGGAAACAAATTTGTCTGTAAAATGGCTTCAATTGAAACTAATTCTAATTGTTTCTTTTCTCATGATTCAAATCGAATATTCATAATCATCTGAGTAAATACGCCGTCATTCATAATCATCAGAAACAGTCTGAGTTGAACTTATAAAACTAAATTAAAAAATTAATTTAAAAAACGTATAGCAGTATTGACCTACATAAGGAGAATCATATAAATTCTTCAAATGATAATTTCAATTACTGTAGTAATTATAAAATTTTTAATAATCAATAAAAAAAATAAATAAAAAAATGCTTGCCGACGTTCGTTAGTGAGGAAGCAAAAGGAAACGGCCTTTCCGAAGAGAAGGCAGTAAATGTTTAAAACTCAATAACTCTGCAACGAACCGTCCGATTCCGATGATTTTTTTTAATTATTTTGTCAGCAATTCAGAAATCTTTCATATAAATATGGGTATTATCAGTCAAAAATTGTGTACTTTTTTAGTTATCGTCAAATAAAATATTGAATTCATCGTAACATTTTTCAGCTTGTTTTCGGGAAAGTATGTTATACACATAAATTAAAAGGGTTTCAAGGAGAAGACTTTAGCCAAGTTTCGTTAAAATCGGTAAAGCCGTTTTGGCACTACAGTTTATAGCGACACATTTTTTGCGGCTTTGAACAGAAAAACATTTACATTTTTATTTTTTTTACATATATAAAATCATCGTAATAAAGAAGTACTATGCCAGAATCCTTCCCAGGAGTGTACGGAACAACTTCCCAAAGTATCATGGCGATCGGTTGAATGGTTTAGTAATGCACTGAGGACAAACAGACGGACAGACAGACATACATTCATTTTTATATATATAGATTAAAAAAATATAAAATGTACAAAGAAAAAAATGCCTTTAAAAAATAATAAAGCATATATCAGCCAGGAAAAATAAAGCAGTATAATAGTAAATGCAGTATTTTTAAAGAGGAAGAAATTAATAAGTATACCAAAATTAATGGACTGCATCTTTGTTAATAATTATACGTTTTTTTGTAGGTAATTTAGTAATCTTTCTAATTATCATGGTTACAATCAAGACTGCATACTTTTTGAGTTATTTGCGAATAAAGTTTCTTTTCCTTCATAATTATTCCAGAAATTTCGTGAGGATAGGACTATTTTTGGAATGTGAAGGAGAAGAATATCTCAAAAATGAGTGGTGCATCGTTGGATTTGATGTTGAATTGACGATGCTATGGCGTACCGACAAAAAACACCTTTTAGAAATAATATATAAGAATAGGATTCACTTTGGAAATAAACAACTCAATTAATTAATAAATTAAAGAAAAAAAGCTGTCGATTGAATGTGATCTCTCCGCATCACCTTCTTGCTTACCCGTTTTCCTTGAAATAGTTCTTCCTTACGTTATGTAGGTTTTGTATTGTATTAGATTATATTTCTTTATATTATATTATATATTTTTGAATAGTTTTTAATATTAAAACATTGTGGAATGAATTGTAAAATAATAATATATAGCAAGATTTTCCTTTCTTAACACTGACTAATAACCCAAGTTTCCTTACAAGATTAACTCATTAAAGAGTGGGAGGCTTGCAGAGTATTATTGCATATAGGTTGCTCTCATGGTCGTTGTTAATGAATGCAAGGGAAAAAACGTTTTTACAAGGTTTTTACTAAATTAAATACCGGAATCGTTATACCAAGTACCGCTCGAACTTTAGTTCACGTTCAAGATCTAACAGATGAAGTGATTAAGTGAATGTGATAAAAAAAAAAAATTTGAATTTTTCAAATGCTTAGTGGTCATTTTAAAAAAGTGATTGGTTCAAGGAAGAATTTAGGAAATTGAAATTGGCAAAATAATTTTAAATTTATAGTAAACATATTTTAAAAGTTTGAGAAACGCTACAAGCACCCAAAAGGTAAGTTAAGTGATTTTTTTTTTACCATAAATTAACCATTTTTATAAAGAAAACAGGAATTCATAGGATACTATGCGAATTGAGTCAACTCTATTTATTGGATATCTAATATTTATGACATTAATATTAAAAAACATTGATGTCATAAGTTTTTTGTCATATTTTCACGAGCATATTAGATGTAGGATGAATGCAATAGTAGCAGACATACGCTGATTTTCGACTTTGATTTTGGAGAGGGGGCGATGAACCGAAGAAAAATGGCGGGAGTTTTTATATTATATAAAAATTCAAATTAATTATTGGGAAACGAACAACGATAATATTTAAAATTAATTCGTTTGCATAGTAGTAAGGATTTTTATTATTTTTTTTTTCGTTTTACTTATTATATATACTTGAAAATATCTTTAAACAATCTGGTGCGCGCAACACACAACTTTTACTTCTCGCTCAACTTGGAATATAAATTATTTTCTGGCTATTATAAAATTTTTGAATTGCATTTATAAACGAACTAAAGTTAAAAGAGTTATAAACGGAAAATAGATACATACTTATTGAAATATAATATCAGATCTAGAGTTGTTCGAAAACTCTAACAAAATACAATAAATCCATTTAAGGTTATAAACATATCCATGAAATATTTTTATACTTCACTTCTTATTTCACACAAATAAGTGAAATTGTATCTTAAACAGTGTCATTGTCTTGAATCCGTGGATTTTAAATACTTTCTCAAACTAAAAAAAAAGTTAAAAGTTTACATTTAGTGAGAAAATTTTATTTAATTTTCTTGAAAACATTTGATTTACTTTTGAGAAATTATTATTTTCACCACTCCCGTTACCTTTTACAATTTTCATTCTAACTCCTAACTATGAGAAATAGTTACTATTTATAATTATAAGGTACTTTAGAGAAAGAGAACATAATTTTGGGATTTCACAAATGGAAAATTCATCAAATTTTTCACTAATTCAATTTTCTAATAAGTTACATGACGATTTTTCGAATGAAACGAAGTTCATGCCTAATTATTTAAATATAATATCAGTTCTAGAATTATTAAACTACAGTAAATGTATTTAACGTTATAAACATATGCTTTATATATCCATGAAATAATTTGATATTTCACTTCTTATTTTACACAAATACAATGAAATAGTTTTTTTAACAATGGTATTGCCTTGATTAGGTGGATTTTAAACAATTTTTCAATCATAAAAATATTTTAAAAGTTTACATTTAGTTAGTAAATTTCATTTAATTTCCTTGAAAACATGTGATTAACATTAAATAATATTAGTTTTAAGAGATTAGTATTTATCATTTTTTGTCACTCTCCGTCACCTCCAACAACTTTCCATATTAGATATTGTTTTTTCTATAATTCTCCGCTTTCCAACGATATATTATACGTATATATTATACTTTATATATATTATACCTTCTGACTAGTATATCCGGATATTCATTTTTGACCTGGATAAGCATTTTTATTTATTTTTCTACCTTTATTCAATTATCAAATTCATTCGAAAGTTATATTTAGCGTTTTTTTCGTGACTCTAAATAACTTGAGATGATTAATTATTTAAAATAAACCATTTTAAAGGTACTTTAGAGGAAGACGTATATGAACATTAGGCATTTAAGCCCTGTAAAGTGACATCAATGGGGATAAGACCTAATTGATATTAAAGACCACTTAATTATACAATGATACACTGAGTTTAATCAAAATCATTAGAGCCATTTTTGATTGTAAAATGTGTTTCAAGTGGCACTTCAAGTTAGCCCATTTAAAGGAAAAAGTTGACGCCACATCTAAGGCATATACCTATCTTAAATACGTAATATCAGAATCGTAGGACTTTTCGTTTTCGGGCTAAATGTTCACGTACATACAGACACACAGACCCTTTTCCGTGACTTGGTTATTTAGACTCAGGGTACCTCAAAACTTGTATTTCCGTTGAAAACTTAGACTCGAAGATTTTCATGATCGCAATACTTATCCTTGCTATATATTACATATATAGGTAATTGAAAGTAAAAATAACGATTATATGCAGTAATATAGACAGTAGTTATAAATAGGTAAATTATGCGTTTTAAGAGATCTCTATCATGTTCGAAGTTAATTTATAGTCAAATTTAAAAATTCCCAAGTTTAAACAAAGAAAACGTAATTGTTTTTGTTTTTCGTGGAAATTTTCTGTCATGTTCGTTTGTCTTGGTATTGAAAACAAAATATAATAAAATATATTTTGCATGTAATTTGTTGTAAAAATGAAAATTTATAGTATAATTTCATTGACCGAATCAATTATAAATATCTATTACCTATGTAACTATCAAGAGGACATAGTGATAAGAGAAGAAGGCTCAATCCAAGATTTCAACATGGATGAATAGTTTTGAACATCCATAGATATCTTTGGAATTTAAAATGAACAGAAATATCTTGCTAAAAACGTAGACAACAAATCCATATAAAAACTTACTTTGATTTTTACGTGGGGTTAGAAGAGAAAATAGATTTCCAGGAATTAGAAAACATGTATAAAGAGAATTATTAAAGTTTATAATGCATGGTAGGTATACAGTCTACAAATGTGGTAGATTTTGTTAATTGAAAATAAACCTACGATTGTTATCTTGAATAGCATCTACAATATTGCATTTTAATTTGTATATATAAATAAATAAATATTCATTTACATATATGTATATTTTGTTTATTTCATTAAATTAATCAAAATACACAATTATATGAATTTATCTTCAAATATGCAATTATATGCATTTTTCCTCAAATATGCAAAATAAAATTTAGCTAATTGCATCATAGTGTACTAATTCGTATAGATATTTGATCAGTGGTAAAAAAAAAATAACGCAAACAAAATATGTAATTGCATAAAAATCCGGGCTTTGGTGATAAGTTATCCTATGAAAATACGATTTTTTTTTAATTTATCAAGAAATAACTTATTTCAAAAAAATACACAGAAAAAAAATTATTTGCAGAACTCAGCAACTCCTAAAATATATTTAATGATTTATAACAAATTACATGATTGATGTGGCAGAAACAGGCTTTTTACTTATATTTTATTGAATATCTTTGAAACTGGTGTTTTTATTGGTTGCTAAACTTTGAGTTAACTATGTCAGGCATTAAAAACATAGAAATTTGTATTATTATAACCTTAAAAATAGAGGTTTTTGCCAGATAGAGCGTTTAGATACCATTTTAAATTATAGCCTATTACAGAGGGGATGAAATGCTGAAGAATTTCCTCACTTCTAGTATGCAGGCCCGATTTTTATTTTCTGAGATATTTTAATCCATATGTAAAAACATTTCGATTAGCCGACTATAGCCGACTTTACCCGACTGTTAAAACTTCGGAAATCTGACAGATCAATCTAATTCACTCTCTACAAAAAAGTGCAAAACGCGCCTAAAGATGTTTTCTCTTCAAAAATTTTAACTTTAATTATATCATAGTATTTATTTGATCAACTCCTTCTCATATTAAATCACGGTCAACCATCTCTGCATCATTATATCTTTGTTACGTATCTTTGTTTCACTTTCACTCAGTTTATCTGAGATAATCTTTTACTTGCCAAAATATTGTATGAAAAATCAGAGGTAAAGTATATTTTTATTTAACTATCTAATTGTGAGTGATTACAACGTTCACATATTTCTTTTTCAGAATTTCCATTGTATTACGGCAGAACGAAATCTTTCTCCTTAAATATCCTTGGAGACTAAAATGAAGAATAAAAACTTCCTCAACGTAAGTTGAAGATTGTAATTCAGGCAAGATATTTACTTAAATGTGGCCGATATTAGAGTAGTAATAGCCAAAAGTTTATTTGTATGACAATTATAATATATTTTCTTAGTGCCGTGAAACCAAAACGTTTCATATTATTATATTACACAATGGTTGTTTATTATTTCCAAACAATTATATATCTAAAGTAACATTACCTTCCTAGTTACAAAGAAATGTAAATAAAAGGTGATTCCAATTATTGAACTAAACTTTTTTTTTTTAATCATTAGTAATAAGCTAAAAATAATAGCATTACTTCAGTAACACATTCAAAATTTAATAACCAAACAAAGGATATATATAACATTTGGAGTAGAACGTATAAAAAAAAAAAACAGGGGACCATATCTTTGCACATAATTGTCCGATTTTAACGATTTTTTTTTGTTTTTTTGGAAATTCCGTAAACTTTTAAAAATACAATATCAACAAAAAAGTACAAACTTTTCGAGTTATTCGGTATTTAATTTTACCATCCCTCTTAACTTTTTTTCCAGCTTCTTTTTGTTGAAGTATGTTATATAGATAAATTTAAAGGGTATCAAGAAAATGACTTTAGTGAAGTTTCATTGAAATCGGTACATTTGTTTAGGTCTATAGCAACGAAGGTTTTTCGGCCGACATTTTGAAAGTAAAAGGCGGATAGTAATGTCGATGAAGGAGGATCATCCTCCTTGAAATCATCTTATATCCAAATTTGAAAAACAAATCGGTCTAGTAGTTTCGGAGAAAGCGCGCGTACGGCGTCCGGCATACGGCGGATGGACAAAAAACGTTGTTCTTTGAAAGTCGAATGTAAGTATTGAGTCAGAAAATGTTAAATTAATTATTGGAATTAAAATTCTTTAATTTAAAGTAGCCCACGTTAGTACTTCACTCTCATTCATGTTTCATTAACTAATGCTTGTGCAGTATTCAAGATAAGAATGAGCACAACTGTAGAATTTACTTAGAACATTCAAATAACATTCAATGATATCATATCTTTAAATAATAGTCCAGATTACTCTATTAAATGTAAAGTTTTCGATTTACAAAAAAACAAAATATTGGAAATCGACTTTGAAAAATAAAACGTACTAAATGTTTAAAATGATATATCTCTTCAACAAAAAAGAACGAAAAAAAATTGGTTGAATAATAGAGGAGGAAAATGGGCTGAACCGTTTTGTGTTTGCCTATTTATATAATGATGTTGCTAATCTTAACAGAAAACGAACCAAAAGTAATTAAAACGGAAGGAGATGGTCCGGGGTGGCGGTCATAAATAGGTTAAATAGTGGTAAAACTATTTTGATTAAAAGCCGACTTTTCAATCCGACTTTGCAGGTCTTCTTCAGGGCTAGAACGGACAAGATACAAAAAGATAGAGAATTGTGGAAGTTACATAATATTTAGACAAAATGTATAAACAATGTGAATAAGCTTATTGAAATTATAAACAGTAAGTACATTAAAATATGAACAACGTAAGCTAAGTAACAAGATCCTAAACTGAAGTAAATAGATGCAGTAAATAGAATGCAAACGGTCAACTATTAAATATTAAAAAGTAATTAAATAGAAAAATATTGAATTTTACAAATGAAACGTCTTACTTTATCAGATAAGATAAAGAATAAAGTACTATCCAATACCGACTAAAAAAAAAAATAATAAAAAAAATAAAAAATTGGTTTTCACTTCATAAATGTATAGTACAAGCCCTAAAGTATAGAAAATACAATACTTAGTCTAACAATTTAATTTCAATTCATCTCTGGATCTCGATGTATAAATATGGAATTAATCACTATATATATTACTTATATTTTATTTATTTATTGGCCATAATTTTAAATAATGAATCAATTGTGAATATTTTAAATACATACACTTAGTTATAGATTTATTGTCATTCAATAGTAGTTGATTTTATTGTTGTGATATGTTTTCTCAATATCTTTTTATAATTATAATTATTATATAATGTATTTATTGCGAGTGACCAATGAGGTGTGGGGGCCTGCGTTTTATTGGTGTAACACAACACCATTTCGATTTGCCAATTCTGAGTGTTTATTTTTAAATGATTGATCCAATTTTGTTAATTGTGATCAGTAAGAAGGTTATGCGAGGTCTATAGTGAAATTGCCTATAGCTTTTGATTGCGTATTTTCTAATTATTTATAGTGTTTTTTGTGTTAATTGTTCTGTTTCATAATAAGTTTCTGTTAGTTTGTTCATTAATTATGTTATTTTGTCGTTACTGTTCCTGTTAATTTCGTTTTATTGGTGTATATAGTTTTGGACTGTTAGGTTAAGTGTTTCTTTTTAAGTGTTATTTCTGTAGTACGTTTTGTAAAGTTCTTTAGTAGTGAAATATTGGGTTAGACATTGTCGTACCTTAAGGTAAGTGTCAGTGTAAGACTCATCAAGTTTATTTCACTATAACCTTTTGTATCTACTACTTAACATTTTTCCAGAAAATAGTTTTAAAGTGCATTAAGGAAAAATATTCGACCCCTTGGTAGCTAAAACTACCTTAAGCTTCCCTAGGAAGCCCAAAGACTCTTTAGGAAAGACAAGTAAGTTTTCTTTTATTTAAAGGTTACACCAGTTTTAATTTACTATGTTGAATGATAATATAGTTGAAGGAGTGGAACCTCGTAAAGAACGAAAACGTACGATAAAGAGGGCCAGGAAGGGTTCCCCTGTTGCTAAAAAGAAATTGGAAGAGGGCTCTAATCTATTTCTTGAAGCAAAGAGAATACAGGAGAATCTTCGTTTATACATGGTCAAACATGAAAACAAGCCCGTAAGTAGTGTTAGGGACCATATTAGCACCAAGATTCAATGTCTTGTTAAGATGATTGAGACCTCAGAAGGCGAAGATAGTCAAGATAGTTATGACAGTGTACTTACCCTTGTCCAAAGAGCAATAAATGAAACATTGTCATCGGAAAAGGTGCATGAAATGTTAACCAAAGTTATCGTTGAGACTTCTATGCCAAAGGTTTTGGAGGCTCTTTCAAGTTCAGCACCTCAACATTTACAGGATAAGGCAGGACCCTCTGGAGAACAGCACCAACTTGCTAGTCAAGATATGGATCATTCTCCGGAGGTAACAGAGAGATTTGAAACCGTCAAGAGTAAGAGAAGGAGGAAAAAAACTAAAACTACTAATAAAGCACTTACTTCGTCAAACAGAGTGATCTCAATAGAACCGAAAGCTCAAGAACAACGACAAGAGAAACCAATAACCATTGCGGATATTGTGAAATCTTTGCCTACAAAGCCAACTCAAACTGAGAGATCAACTTATATCACTATAAGCGGAACGGGCAAGAGACCAGCCGATATAATCAATGGGTTGCCTTCACCAAGCGAAATTGGAGTAAAGGCCTCCATTGTCCGTACGACCAAGACTGGCTCCGTGTTGGTCCGCATGGATAATAGTAGTGATGCCACGAAGGTGATTGGATGGCAAGGGCTAAGAGACAGTGGCCTTCAAGCCAAACTTGCCTTGAGGAAGAAACCTAGATTGGAGGTTCAGGGCGTCCCCCTCTCATGGGATTCAGCGGAGTTGGTGAGATTTTTATGGGAAAGAATACCCGAGAAGTCGGTCCCCACTCCGCTGGTCCTTGATGATATCCGGCCACTTTTTTCCTCAATGGCAAGAAATGGCTTTACAAAGAATTGGGTGATAGAAGTGCACCCTACAGTTCGATTCCTGCTGTTGGAAATAGGAAGCTTAGATGGAGGATGGTGGAGTATTAAAATCAAAGACTACCTCGACGCTCCTCGATGCAGTAAATGCCAGGGATATGGTCACACTAAGGCCACATGCATATCAAATGCCGTAGTTTGCATTTGGTGCGCTTCCACTGGCCATGTTATAAAAGATTGCCCTAAGAAAAAAGAACTGGCTAGCCCATCGTGCATCAACTGCGAGCGGGTAAATGCGCCTGCTAGTCAAAGGAAGCACAAGGCGGGAAGTCGGGAGTGCCCTGTGCACCTGAAGTGGGCTAAAGAGGTAGCGAAGAGGACCTTTTATGAGTGAGCTTACCATCCTCCAGCTCAACATGGGGCGCCGGCATATAGTGGCAGACGAACTCCGGGCTCTTTATCCGCGCTACGATGTTATGGCGGTTCAAGAACCGACCTGCCGTGGGAACTTAGTAACGGGGTTTGGCCTCACATCGAGAGTTATAGCTTTGGGCAGTAGAGAGAGGAGGCCCAGGGCTGCTATTGTGATTAATAATCCTAACCTCGATGTGATGGATCTGAGGCAGTATACCACGGCGGATTGTGTCGCATGTCATATCAAGTGGCGTAATGTTTCCTTTACGCTAGTTTCATCATACATGCCTGATGGAAATGACATAGAAAGGGACATAACCGCCGTGGAGATGATCACGGCTTGCACTCGGAACGTGATTATCTGCTCAGATACCAACTCTTGGAACACGGTCTGGGGGTCCAATCGAACCAATAGAAGAGGCGTCCAGCTTGGTGAATTTATAGCAAGGAGCCAGCTACTAGTCATCAACGATTCCTCCGCTATCCCAACGTTCTCCAGTGCAAGAGGCCACAGCTGGATCGATGTGACTTTGGCATCACCGGTGCTGGCAAACCGCATCATCGATTGGACCCTTCGATCTGAGACGAGTTCCGACCATCAGGCGATATCTTTTAGGCTGGTGGAAAGTTCATTTAGTTCCCACGGCACAGACAAGGGTTACATAACCCGAAGAAAAGATTGGAGCGCCTTCCGGTCGACTCTGGAGGGAAAATTGGTTGATGAGGAATGGGATGAGGCTGACATGGATCAGACTCATGATCTGGATTACAGGGTATCCAGGATCACAACTGTCATCCGTGATGCTGCTGAAGAATCCCTCCAGCATCGGAAGGCGAGAGTTCGACCTGTTCCATGGTGGACGCCGGCATTAACTATGATGAAGAGAGAGCTCTACAAGGCCCGGCGGTCGTACCAGAGGTGTATTTGTGACGAGAGGCGCATTACACTTCGTGACGAGTACAAGTCTAAAGCCAGGGCATATCGAAATGAGGTGCGCTTACAAAAGCGGAAGTCTTGGGACGAGTTCATTGTTGAGGAGTCATCAAAGAATCCTTGGGGTATTCCTTACAGAGTGGCTCTGGGTAAGCTAACACCACAACAAGTGATTGCTGCGCTCAAGTGCGGAGCTACCCATGCAACCACTCTGGAAGAGACATCGAAGATGTTTATAGCGGAAATCTACCCCAGAGATGATCCGTCCCAAGATAATGAAGAAGAGGAATTCATAAGGCGCACTACGGTATGTCCACCTGGTACGGACTTGTGCCCACCATGGGACATATGGGATCTGCGTGCTGCTGTGGACAGGCAAAGGACTGGTCGTGCTCCCGGTTTAGACGCAATCGATGCGGCTATGCTAAAGAATAGTATCCCCTATATCGAAGATACATTGTTGGAGTTATTCAATGATTGCCTTGATAGGGGATACTTTCCACGAAATTGGAAAATTGCCGACATAAGGCTCCTTTACAAGGGAGGAGACAAGGACAAGCAATTAGCCAAGTCTTATAGGCCTATATGTCTCCTCCCTGTTATGAGCAAAGTGTTAGAGAACCTACTCCTGGTGAGCCTACGACCAGTCTTCTCAAGAGCGAGCCATCCACGGCAGTACGGATCCACTAAGGGTAGGGGAACCGTGGATGCCCTGCTGAGAGTGCGCCATGACGTCGAAGAGAAGGCGGAGAAGTATGTTATGCTCCTCCTGTTTGATATCACCTCCGCCTTCGATAGTGTTTGGTGGCCTTGCGTACTCCAGCAGTTGCAGAAGTATGAAGCTCCCAGCAACTTGTACGAGCTATTACGAAGCTATCTTCAGGACCGAACTTTAAGAATACGGGGTAACTTCTTCGAAGTTGAAGACTCCATGGAAAGAGGTTGTCCCCAGGGTTCAGTTCTAGGTCCTGCCCTATGGAATTTAGTCTTCAATGAGTTGTTGGGAGTACTGGAAGAGGAGCGGTTCCCCGCTACGGCTTATGTAGATGATCTGGCCGTTGTGGTAGCCTCGAACAGCAGAACCCGACTGAAAGAAGAAGCTGAAAGGTGCGCCAACTTAGTAGAAGAGTGGTGCGAGAAGAAGAAATTCAGGATGGCCGCCGCCAAGACCCAGGCCATCCTCTTGAAAGGCACGACTGATAGGGCTCACCCTATAACAATGGTTATACAAGCATCAAGAATACGTCCAAGTGAGGTTGTCACCTATCTTGGGATTAGGATTGGAAGAAAGTTCAACGTGACACCTCACTTGGACTACTTGAGAAGTAGGGTAGCCCTAACCCTTAACGGACTCAGTCGTATTGGGGGCGCATTTTGGGGCCTCAGGTACCCAGCAACTATGACCATTTATAAAGGTGTTATTGTGAGTATCCTGAGGTATGCGTCCCCTGCCTGGAGCCAAAATCTCTCGCACAGACAGAAATGTAGGTTGGCCACGATTCAGCGGATGGCTCTGCTTCGAGTATCCAGATCATTTAGGACGGTGTCTCATGAGGCTGTGCAGGTCTTGGCAGGAGGAATACCTCTCGACCTCCTGCTGAGAGAAGACTACTACCGGTATCAGATTAGGAGAGAATGCTTAGCGGCTCTACCGGATTACCTCCGAGTGAGAATAAGAGATGATCCAAGAAACTGGAAGAAGATTCTCCGGGAGGATACAGTAGAGGACTGGAACCGACGGTGGTTGACGACTCCCAAAGGAGCTACTCTAAGGAAGTACTTCCCCACCGTCAGTTCGCGACTAGAAGCGACTTGGGTCCTCCCGGACTACTGGATTTCACAGATTCTCACGGGGCATGGGGGTTTCCGAGCAAAGCTCGATCAGTATGGTATAAATATCGATCCCCTATGCCCAAGTTGTGGGGTACCGGAGACCGCTGAACATGTTGTACTTACCTGTACGGTCTATGAGTCACTGAGGGCGAAACTGTTGAGAGAAACAGGTCTCTTTGTCCTAACAGAGAGAGATCTTCCTCAACTTATGGACAAAGAAAGATACGATCACTTCAAAAGTTTTATATACGGATGGAAAGAAGTTGTTCTACCAACCCACTTCTCTTTGGGAAGAAGAAGAGAAGCTGCACCGGGGAGGCCACCAGAATAATAAGAAAAGTAAACCAGATGCAAGTGAAGAGAAGAGCAAGCTGTGTGCACAGCTCAGAAAAATAATGTAATAGCCAAAACATGCAGCAGTGGGTTGTTATGTAACAGTAACATCCCACTGCTGCAAATACCCGTATTGCCTTCAGGCAGGGGAGGGTTGAAAATAAAATAAAATAAAATAATTGTGATCAATATAGAGTTGAATCAATTGTTTTTCCTGATAGCAATAGCTCATAGAAAATAACATCCTTAAAATTCCACCATACGGAAAGCAGTCCCACCATATCTTCTTTGGATGCAATCCGGGTTTTGACATTCTTTCAGAAGCCTCACTACTAGGTCTCCAACATTTTCTACGGACTACATTATCGTAAAATATCCATTTTTCATTTCCTGTTACCAACCATTTCAAACATAGGTCGTTTTGTTTCCGTTTCTGTAATGAATCACAAACAGAAATGCGTGTTGCCAAGTTGACTTCGGTTAGAGAGTGAGAGATCCAAACATTAAGCCTGGAAACATAGCCGAGATTGTGCAAATGGTTTTCTACGATTGTGTGCGACACATAGGCCTTAACATTTCAACTTCATGTGAGCGACGTTGAGCATCATTGATGTCAAAATTTTTCTGAATGAGATTTGGCAAATCAATTTTGACAGGGGCGTTCGGTTAAGCCATCGTCCACATAAACACTGAAAATTTTTCTCTGGGCTTTTTACACAACAACATATGCCCATAATTAATGAGATTTTATTCCATATACACAGTGCAATAGCAAACACAATACTAAGCTAGATTCAGCAAGAGTTAACAGATATAGTTGTTGGCATATTACAAACAGGATAAACAATCCACCTTAGGGATTAATTCATCAGATAAGAAGTGTATCACAGTGACATAAAAATAAACAGAAAAACCGAAATGACTTATTTGCCAACCCAGTATAAATATAATTTTTTCTCATGTATATTTCATTTTTCTTATGTACTTTTTAATTTTTAGTCTTGATGATGATCCACATGTTTAGGTTAAAACGTCCTCAATCATATGAAGATTGCATTTCCTGATAATTTGCCACTCTCAAATTTTGAAACTTTATTATTGTGTGTTGGTTGTAGTTGTCATTTATTGTTGAATGAAGTAATATCAATTGTTAGCAATTGGCGTCAATATGAAATTGATTAAGTCTTGAAACGTTGCCAAAATGTATTAGTTATTGTTATATTGTATTTTGTATTTATATATATATATATATATATATATATATATATATATTTTTTTTTTTTTTTTATTACATTTCAGATTTGGAACAGGAATCGATCAATCTACGAAATCGAACACAAGGACAAGTTTGTAATTTTAAACTGTTATTAATAAAATATATTATTGGAAAGCATAAAAAAAAATCAACTTTATTTTTAAATGTTTTTTTCTGTATTTTGTTTCAGAAAAAAAGAACTTGGAAAACTAAGGACTATTTTAAAATCCGTAAGTACATAATGTGATGCATATTGTGATGATTTTAATATGTAATGGAAAAATTCCAAAAGCAAACATTAACAATTTTTTTTTAAACTACGCCGTTTATTTCGACTAGTGAATCGTTTTACTTTATGCACGTACAGTCATAAGTGAAAATCGTTTGATGGATCGTACTAGATATTTTTATAAGGAATAAATAAGTCTTTTATTTTGAATGATACAACCACCAATATCGTTGACAGTTAAGAGATTTCCTTAACATTTACAATATCCTTTTGAGATATTTCCTAAACAACTACAGTCGCCTCATAAGAGTTACCCTATAAGATAATTCCTTAACTGTAACAATTACTAACTGTCACAACCGTCATGAGAGATGATTCTTAATAGTTGCAATGCCTTCATAGAAGGATATCTTTAACAGTTACAATCTCCTCATATTAGTCATCCTTGCAGTTATAAGTTCTTACGATGCGTTATCCTAAACTGTTACAAAACCCTCATGAGAAATGATTCTTTAACAGTTACAATAGCCTCATGAGAAGTGATTCTTAACAATTACAATATTCTCATGAGAAATGATTCTTTAACAATTACAATACCTTCATGAGAAATGATTCTTAACAGTTACAATATTCTCATGAGAAATGATTCTAACAGTTACAATATTCTCATGAGAAATGATTCTTAACAGTTACAATATTCTCATGAGAAATGATTCTTTAACAATTACAATACCCTCATGAGAAATGATTCTTAACTATTACAATACTCTCATGAGAAATGATTCTTAACAGTTACAATGCCCTCATGGGAGGTTATCATCAACAGTTCCAATCTCCTTATAAGAGGTCATCATTAACAGTTTCAATATTATAATAAGTAATACTTAACTGTTACGAGTCCTTGATGATGACAGATTATCCGTAACAGTTACAGTACTGTTAAAAGCTATATAAGAGGTCATCCTTAACAGTTATAATGTCCTCATAAGATGTTATCCTAAAGTTTTACAGCATTATCCGTAGTTACTAATAACAGTTATAATGTTCTGACATGGGATTATTCTTAACAGTTACAATTCCCCCGTGATAGGTCGTACTTAACAGTTACAATGCTCTCAAGGAAGGTTGTCTTTAACAGTTATAATGCTCTCAAGGGAGGTTTTCGTTAACAGTTATAATGCCTTCAAGTTAAAATATCGTCGTAAGAAGCCATCCTTAACAGTTCATATCTTCTGATGGGAGATTATTCTTAACATCTTAACGTCACAGTGATCTCATGGAAGGTTATTCTTAACAGTTCCTATGTTCTCATAAAAGGTTATTCTTAATAGTTATAGTTTTCTTATAAAATGTTATCATTAACAGCTTCAATATTAAAAGAAGTTATCCTTACAGTTATAAGTCCTTATGATGCGTTACCCTAAACTGTTACAATACCCTCATGAGGAATGATTCTTAACAATTACAATAAACTCATGAAAAATGATTTTTAACAATTACAATAATTTCATGAGAAATGATTCTTAATTGTTACAATACCCTCATGATAAATGATTCTTAACAATTGCAGTGCCCTCATGGGAGGTTATTATTAACAGTTCCAATCTCCTTATAAGAGGTCCCTAACAGTTAAATATTATAATAAGTTCATTATAGTAATCCTTAACTGTTACGAGTCCTTGTGACAAGTCGTCCGTAACACTTACAATGTCCTCATACGATTATTTTAAAAAGTCCTAAACAGCATTATCCGTAGTTACTCCTAACAGTTACAATGTTCTGACATGGGATTATTCTTAACAGTTACAATTCCCTCGTGATAGATCGTCCTTAACAGTTACAATGCCCTCAAGGGAAGTTGTCCTTAACGGTTATAATGCCCTAAAGGGAGATTATCCCTGACAATTACAATGTCCTTATAAGATATTATCTTTAACTGTTATAATATCATAAGAAGTTATCCTAAACTGTTGAAATTTCTCATGGTAAGTAATCCTTAACAGTTAAAATATCGTCATAAGAAGCCAACCTTAACAGTTCATATCTCCTTATGAGAGGTTATTCTTAATATCTTAACGTCACAATGATCTCATAGAAGATTATTCTTAGCAGTTCCTATGTTCTCATAAAAGGTTATTCTTAACAGTTATAGTTTTCTTATAAAATGTTATCATTTACAGCTTCAATATTAAAAAAAGTTATCCTTACAGTTATAAGTCCTTTTAATGCGTTACCCTAAACTGTTACAATACCCTCATGAGGAATGATTCTTAACAATTACAATAAACTCATGAAAAATGATTCTTAACAATTACAAGAATTTCATGAGAAATGATTCTTAATTGTAACAATACCCTCATGATAAATGATTCTTAACAATTGCAGTGCCCTCATGGGAGGTTATTATTAACAGTTCCAATCTTCTTAGAAGAGGTCATTAACATTTAAATATTATAATAAGTTCATTATATTAATCCTTAACTGTTACGAGTCCTTGTGACAAGTTATCCGTAACAGTTACAATGTCCTCATACGATTATTTTAAAAAGTCCTTAACAGCATTATCCGTAGTAACTCCTAACAGTTATAATGTTCTGACATGTTGTTATCCTTAACAGCTACAATTCTCTCATGATAGGTCGTCCTTAACAGTTACAATGCCGTCAAGGAAGGTTGTCCTTAACAGTTACAATGCCCTCAAGGGAGGTTATCCCTAACATTTACAATGCCATTATAAGATATTATCCTTAACTGTTACAATACCATAAGAAGTTATCCTAAACTGCTGAAATTTCTTATGGTAAATAATCCTTAACTGTTAAAATATCCTCATAACAAGCCATCCTTAACAGATGATATCTCCTTACGAGAGGTTATTCTTAACAATCACAATGCTTTCATGGAAGGTTATTCTTATCAGTTCCAATCTTCTCACAAAAGGTTATCCTTAACATTTATAATGTTCTTATAAAATGTTATCATTAACAGCATCAATATAAAAAGAAGTTATCCTTAACAGTTACGAGTCCTTATGACAGGTTATCAGCAACTGTTAATCGCTATATAAGAAGTCAACCATAACAGTTAAAATATCCTCATAAGATGTTATCATCAAGTTTTAGAGTATTATCCGTAGTTGTCCCTAACAGTTACAATGTTCTGACAAGGAGTTATTCCTAACAGTTATAATGTTCTGATTAAAGGTTATTTTTAACAGTTATAATGTTCTGATTAAAGGTTATTTTTAACAGTTACAATGCCCTAATTGGATGTTATCCTTAACAGTTAAGCTATGCAAAGAAGAAGGACTTGATACAGCTTATTTTGTGCATCTTCTTCGCCCTCTGCCTCGGATCCATCGGTCCGCTCAACATGTACTTCCTCCAAACGCCGGTCCTCAATATATACATCAGAGCAGAGACCAAGGGAAATGTGAGTATAGAATTAATTTTTCATGAATAACATTATTATTATTGTCAATTTTAAATTCGATTGAAACTAAATTAAAATATTTCCAACAATTGCAGCCTTATAACGTCAATATTACCGAAGAGATTCCCCATTTAGTTGATTTCGGCTGTGGTTACTTCGTCAGTGCTGCAATCTCGGTACTCTTTGCCATCACTGTGGTAAGGAATAACTGATTTTATACCTTCTTTTTTTTTAATTTATAATAATATATTTTCAACTGTACTATTTTTCGAACTAAGTATGAAAATTTCACAAAGATTTGTATGGTACAACATAATTTACACGCTTATCAAATTATATTGAGATACCAAGTACTCGTGCCTCATACGCGTAGGTCGCAACTGGCCATGCTGAGATTTAATTGAATCAAAGTTTTGTTGTGCGGTTGATAAATCGACTTCTTAATAGATGCGCAATGGAGTATTTTTACTTCCACTTACCTCCACACCGAGGTACTCCTATTCTGAACCCTCCAGAAATGAGTTTTCCTTTCAAAAAAGAAATATTGGCAATCTATGTGGAACGAAAGTCCACCTAGCAAATTAAAAGCTGTTAAAAAATCAGTGAAGCCCTCGATCACATCAAACCGCCCTAATCGTAGAGAGGAGGTCGCCGTGGCCAGGTTAAGAATAGGACACAGGAACCTAACTCATGTACATCTCATCACTAAGCAGCCACCACCTTATTCGATTACAATATTCCATTAAACATAATAGACCAAAATATTTATACAAATTGCTTTGCTAGGACCTATTTTCAAACGCTGACTGGAAAGATAATATAAGTAACAAAGACAAAATAATGCCCCGATCATGGGATATTCTAAATTATTAAAAAAAAATAAAATGCAAGAATAACCAAATGTCTTTAAGAATTAATAAAGTTAATGTAAAAGCCAAGAAAAAAAATTGTAGTAGACTATTCTACTCCTAAATGCAATATCTTTAAACAGGAAGGCATTATTGAGTATACCAAAACTAATGGACTGTATCTTTGTCAATAATTGTCCGAATTTTACGATTTTTTTTTTGTTTAGTAGGTAATTTAGTAATCTTTCTAATTATCATGGGTTCAAAGACTGCATACTTTTTGAGTTATTTGCGAATAAAGTTTCTTTTCCTACATAATTTTTTCCAGAAATTTCGGTAGGATAGGACTATTTTTGGAATGTGAAGGAGAACAATATCTTAAAAATGATTGGTTCTTCATTGGATTTGATGATGAATTAACGAAGTTATAGCGTACCGACAAAATACACCTTTTAGAAATAATATATAGGATATGCAAACAAACAAGATAATAATTCCATTGAAGAAATAAACAAAATTAAACTATTCTTGTAATAATTAATTCCATTTCATCCCCTTATCCTGCTTCAGACTTTTATTAACACCGGATTGTGTTATTTTTCAGATCATGACTTCAGAAATTGTTTCCCGTAACATAATGATCAGAATTAAGACTGCCTACTTATCCAAGATGCTGTCGATGGGGATTGACTGGTTTGATAAGTCTCAAGAACAATATGTCAATACTGTGTCAAAGTAAGTATTTACACAAGTAAGTATATGCAATACCGTAGTGTAGATTTCTTTGCCGACTCTCTAGAATGATGGTGATAGTTGAATAAGGTATAAAACGAAATATAATGTTATGGAGAAGTGACGAATCATAATTTTATAACTTAAAACCTTCAAGAATAGGACTTCAAGAATCACTTAAACACCATGTCATATAGGTAGTTAGTTTCTTTCTTTTTTTTTCACATTTACATTCACTTTTATTTAAGTCAAGGTATAAAATTAGGAATCAAAATTACGATTCGCGCACACTACGTGATATTCCCTTTCTATTGATACCTCATTCGTCAAAATCCATCACTCCTGAGAGCCGGAAAAGGGATACTTATTTGAGAAATAATATATAACATATGTATTTCATTCAATTTTTATTTATTTTTTTTTTTTTTTATGTCGGTACGACATATCTTCGTTAATTCTTCATCAAATCCGATGACTGACTCATCATTTTTAAAGATTATCATTATCTATCTTTTCCTTCGGGGAGGATAAATAATCACAAAATTTAAAAAGAAATACAATGTATATTAGCATTTAAGTCAAAAAGTAAGCAATTTATGGTAGATAACAAGTATGATTATTTGATTATAAAATAACCTAAAAAATCATCCACATCAAGCCATTTATTAGCAAAGATACAGCTGATAGTAATATTTTACATATATTTTGATTTCTTATTGCTAACGAACTTTTATTAATTAGACCAAGAAAAATAAAATTAGTTCCTTCATCTCATAATACATTGCATTAACTTATTTCTATGTTATATTGTCAATTATTCATTGACCAATCTACTATGCTCATTATTCGCATGGGCCAACCAGTGTCAATTTATTTTGGTATTTGAGACGATTAATTTTAATTCAATTATTTTGAGGTGAATTATACAGTATGAGTAAGTATCGCGATCGTGAAAAATTCTGAATACGTGTTTTCTATGAAAATGCACGTTCTGCGAGTGAAAAATATACCTTACATTACCCTTAGGAATTTTCTCTTTATTTCTTTCTAGTTAATTTTTATTAAATTTTATTTGTTCTCTATTTTCCTCTCCTACTATTAATTTTATTTTTGCTTGTTACAGTGATTTACAGAAGATGGCGGTCTTATTTGATAGTAAAATGACAAGCGTAGCCGAAATGTTCTCCTCGTTATTTTGTAGTTTTTTAGTGGCCGTCATACTTTCTTGGAAGGTTGCACTTTTGAACCTTGTAACCATCTCGATAACTATAATGATAATTTACTTTATATTACAAGTAAGTAATCAATAGTAATATATTGATTCGAACAATATGTATATTTATTACCATATAACATAATATGGTTATGTTAAATAAAAGAATATATACTTATACTAAGGGAAACGGGGTAAGTTGGCCGAAGGGGTAAGTTGGAAATATGGAGGGGGAGGGGAGCACGTTGGAACGACTGAACGTTGAATTCTCTGTTGTCTTTCACCTCCACGACTTCAAGTTCTTTGACTATAATTATTCGATTTTGTTGTATTTCTAGTCATTCTTGTTGTGTTAGATTAAATTATTACATCTCTAAGTAAAACTATTTCAAACATCGCGTTGGGGCAAATCAACGTACAGTTCGTTTTAAATATATTTATATTTAAATATAAAAAACAACTAACTTGTAGGTTTATCTAAGTTGTTTGTTTTATCAATTACATCCATAGTGTCTGCTGCAAATTTTATGAATTTTAGCAATAGAGCCTTTAGTCATAGACGTAGAATTTTGATTTTGATTTGGGGGAGGGAAATGGAAAAAAAAAAATAGCAGCAGTATTTATTATGTATCAAAATTGGACATAATTATTCTGAAACGTGCAAATATAATATTGTAGTCCGTGGTACAGAACAATTTCTATCAAATTATTAACATCCGCCTGGAACTTCGTAAATAGTTTCCTCTCATCGTAACCTAGAAATATTTTATTTACAAAAACTCTTGGAATTGGAGCGTTTTCAATCTAGAGGGTGGCAAACTTTGTCTATTTAACAAGGTACTAAAAACTCCTAAATACCCATTTGCTTTCTACTTAGATCGTAAGATAATTTGATCACAAAGTGGAGAAAAAAGGTGGCCTTCAAAAATATTGAGCTGTTTGGCGTGACCTACATCCCCAAATTTTCAAAATAAAGAGGTTATATAGAACAAACGGTCCAATATTTTTGTAGGCCTCCTTTTTTTATCGATTTTGTGATCAATTTATCTTATGATCCAAGAAGAAAGCAAATGGGTATTTACGAGTTTTTAGTACCTAATTAAATAGACAAAGTTTGCCCCCTTCCAGATTGAAAACGCCCCATTTTCAAGAGTTTTGGTAAATAAAATAGTTGTAGGTTACGATGAGATCAAACTATTTACGAAGTTTCAGGCGGATGTTAATAATTAAATAAAAATAACACCAAGGACTATTGAATATTTAAAATAGATTTGATTATATGTTTGTGTAATTGTAAGGATTTTTAATAATTTTTTGTTTGTTTTATTTATTATACATACTTGAAAATATCTACTAAAAACTAAATTTGAATTCATAACGTATTAGTTTAAATTTTAAATACGTGAGGGATGGGAGACATCCTTCATAACATCGGTACATTTCTATAACTTTTTCATCTAAAAATAAATAATGTAACATAGTGAAAAATATCTTTGATCCGTTAGTTTGTCACAGAAAATCCGATAAGAATATTAAGGAAAAATAGAGAGCTAATTGAATCATAAAATTTTAGGATATGTTGATATATATTATTATTTTTGAATGTAAATAAAATTTAAATAAAAGTAACATTTAAGAATTAATAAAATAGTTCTAGCTCCTAGGCTAGTCGACTTTTCTAAATCGATTTTAGTTTAAAAATTTTATTCATTCATATAGCTTGTTTATTATTTATTTTATTTTTTTTACCTCATAATTTTTATTGGAACCCTCCAGAGTCTGCGCCTATGCCTTGAATTGTCAATTTGATGATTCATGAAGCCTACGTTATTAAAATAATTATTTATAAAAAATATAATTTATCAAATCGGACATTTTCTTGGATCCAGATTACAGATTACCAGACAAAGAAAAAAGAGCTGGTTTATTTCTTATGAAACTTCCTTAAATGAAAACAAAAATCTGTTAATAAAAAAACTTCTATTGTTTCAGTCATCAAAAGAGAAGGAAAAATCTAAGCAAGAATACAGTAGAAAATGTACGAAAATTGCTTCTGAAGTAATTGGAAACGTCTGTACTGTCGCCGCTTATGGTGGCGAATATAAAGAAATTGAAAGGTATTATTTATTTATTGAAATTTAAATTTCGGCAATGGATAACTTTATAAGTTTGTGACAACTTTTAATTCCGAATTTATATTAGTCTGTAAAAAAGATATTTTGTTAAAATGACATAGCATGAGCGAATGGCGCTCTGACAAAAATTTAAGAAGTGCCCACACCATTCCAGATGAACAGCTTCCATTTCTAACTCGTCGATTTCGGTCCCACTTGAATCAAACTATTAAACTATTCAGGGGCCTACCTCCCCCTCCCAAGGTCGATGGTGCAAGAACCAATCCCCCCTCCTCCCAAGATATTTTAGTGCTCTTCTTTTCTTGAAAACAGAGCAAGCTAAGGTAGAATTAGAAAAGTCGTAGACCACATACAATTATCCTGTGGTATGTTCCATGATTTCCTCTTGTCCTTTTGTCTGAAAATTCATATCTCCATCGAACTTTGTCCCCCTCAAAAACTCGTCAAAATGTACCCCCTCAAAATTTTGATGGCGCAACTTGCGCCATGTACCCCCTTCTGAGCACCCCTGAAACTATTAGTTTCTTGTTAAAAAAAAAGCAAAAACAACTATGGTATGTGCTTTAGACCATAAGATAGAAGTGAAAACATCAAAAAGGTGACATTAATAATATGAAACATAAATTATAAATAATAGCTCAATATAAAGAGGATAAAAAGTTATACATTTTCCTCACTTACAGTTTGCAGCTCCGATTTTTAGTTCCAATATAAAGGTCTACTTCTATGTTTCCGGATCCGTAAATTTTGAAAATGACTTCCATTTTAAGATTATGCCACTGCGTTTCGCCTCACTTAATTTATTCCAAGTGTTTACTTTTACGTTATCGGAGACGTAGTTTTTGAAAATGACCGCCATTTTAAGATTATGCCACTGTGTTTTGGATTATAAGGATCTACTTATATGTTATCGAAGGCGTAGTATTTAAAAAATTTCTAATCTCTAATATTTAAATTTATCTAATATTTAATCTTCATTCTATGATTACTTCGCTGCATCTTGATTAATTAAGCTTTAATTTGGGATTTTTTCAATCTCAAGTTTCATCAATACATTTTCGAGTATGAATAAATAAATAAATTAATTAATATTACGAAGCCAAGGTTAGTAAAGTAATAAGCCGAAAAAACAACTAGTAATAAATTTAACCTACCATATTCAGATTTTTCAGCTAATTGTTCGAAATCTTATGATTTTGTAAGAGGACACCACAGCATTAAAAAAGATAACTAAAATTAAATTAAAAATGAGACAATAGTTATTTTATTTATATCAGTGGAAAAATAAATTAATCCTTCATATTTTTCTTTTATTCGAAGGAAACTTCAAAAACAATTAAATAGACCGAAACACAGTGGCCTAATTTTAAAATGGATGTTCTTTTCAAAATCTGCGGCTCCGAAAACATAAGAATACGCCCTTATATCGAATATATTCGAAAAACTTAAATAAACCGAAACGGGGTGGTGTGATCTTAAAATGGATGTTATTTTCAAAAACTACTAGATAACTGACCCATACATTGAAAAATTGAAAATAATTAAATAAATAAAAAAAAGGTTGAATTTGAAATGAAAAAGGTTTAATTTGAAATTGAAAAGGTTTAATTTGACTTGGAAAAGGTTGAAATTGACTTAGAAATGCTATATAAAGTACCACTTCCGGTCGAAGGCTTGTAAAAACCTTAAATATGCAATTTCAATTTCATACGACTTTTCGTTTTTTAGCTAGACTATTAACACACACAGAGACCATTTTGCGAGACTTGGTTATTTGGATTGAGGAGAATATATAGGTAAGTGAAAGTAAAAAAGTAACGATGGATTCAGAATATTATATAAGAATAACTCAAAAATTACACAAATAGTACATGACATTTTTGTATTTTAATTACATATCAAAGTGTATGTTGGAATGTATAGGAGCAGAAAAAAAATTATGGAAACATGCAAATTTGTATTATTTCTTTATGATTTATTAATATTATTTCATATTTTATTTTCCACTGCTATTTTCCATAGTAGCAGACTACCTCTATCAGTTGCATATTACTAAATGTCACATTTAGAGTAAGAATAATAAACAAGTAACATTGCCACATATGATCTTTTGCACTTACAGCAGCGATATGTTTCTTCAAATATATAATAATGATTTGTTCATTTACACTTAGGTACAAGAACACCTTAAAGATGGCTAACAAGTTTGGATTACAATATACTACAATGATCTCTGCAGGAAAAGCATTCAACTATTTCATGCTATGTGTTTGCTATTTGATTGGCTATTACTTTTCTGTAAGGCTCTATCTCTTAGACGATTTCGATCCTGGGCACTTAGGGGTTGTAAGTGAAACTATAATTATATTCATTGTTACAGAAACATTATATAGCAATTATTATTATATTCATGGCTGAGTTAAACTGCATTAATATTGTAGAATAACATATAGTCCGTTGTACTGACCCCTTTTTATCAAATATTTAACATCCAGCTGAAACTTCGTAAATAGCTTCATATCATCGTTACGAAAATTCTTGAAATTGGGGCGTTTTCAATCTGGAGGTTGTCAAACTTTGTTTATTTTATTAGGCACTAAAAACTCCTAAATACCTATTTGCTGTCCACTTGAATCGTAAGATAATTTGACCAAAAACTTGAGAAAAATGGTGGCCTTAAAAATATTCAGTCGTTTGGCGTGACCTACACCCCCAAAACGTCAAAATAACGAGGTATTATAAGCCATTCAGCCCAATATTGTTGTAAGCCACCTTTCTTCTCGATTTGTTGATCAAATTATCTTACGATCAAAGGAGAAAGCAAATGGGTATATACTAGTTCTTAGTGCCTAATTAAATAAACTGTGTTTGACGATCTCCAGATTGAAAACGTCCCAATTACAAGAGTTTTCGTAAATAAAATATTTGTAGGTTACAATGAGATGAGCAACAGCTTAAGGTTTTCGAAAATAACGTATTTCCAAAAATATTTTGATGGAAAAAAGGATGAACCAATCAGAGAGTCTAGACGGTTACATAACGTCGCACAGTGGTCTGAGAGCGGCAAAAACACCAATTTTCAAGGTGTTATGATAATTCAAATTTCAAAGTTTTTATTGTCTCACACAACTCAAATTTTCCTAAAGTTTAGGCACAAATAAAACCAGCAGTTTCACTTACATTCAATAAAATATAAGTAAAAAGCCTGTTTCTGCCACATTAATCATGCAACTTGTTATAAATCATTAAAGATATTTTAGACGTTTTTGTTGAATTCTGAAAATAATTTTTTGTTGTGTGATTTTTGGAAATGAGTCAAATAAGTTCTTAAATAACTTCTTTATTAATGAATAAAAAAAATATCGTATTTTCATAGCCTAAGTTATCATTCCACGGATCCAGGAATTTGGTTTTTCAATCGGAAAGTACCTCGCCCCAACTACCGCCAAGGTCTTACTGTAATCAAAATGTTTTTTGAACCCTCTGCTTATGATGAATACAAAAATAAGCAGCGGTAATGTGAGATTTTGGCAATCATCTGAAAAATTCAGTCTATACCAAAAACGAGCAAGAAAAAATTCCTACCTGTATCGAACTAAATTTATACCTAATATAATTTATTCCTTTCCATCATATCACACTGGAGGAAAAGTAAAGAAACAAAAAAACTGAAAGAAAATGGGAAGGAAAAGATTGAAGAGAAATTCAAACAATTTTGTGACCCATAATTGATACTGAGGTATTGTTTTCAGCTCACTACCATGTATTTGGTTTTTTATTTTATTTCCTTTAATTTGCTTGGTGGGCTCTCATTCCACATGGATTGCCAGCCGCGTTTACGAGCTCATTTTCAGTGATTCCCACATGGCCGAACACTCAGAAAAAAGTTTTACTTAATTTTCTATTTAATTTAAAGATGAGATAGTTTTAAACAAATATTTTTTATAAAAATAAGCTATGATTAGTGGAGTTCTATCATTCATAAATAATTAACCATATAAATAAATGAATTAAAAGTTGAAAAATAATAAAAAATATTTCCTTTTAATTCAATTTAAACCATAGACTTACATCCAAGTGATTGAAAATTGATCTAATTTCTTATATTTTAGATGTTAGCAACACAAGTTAACGTAATATATCATTGCACCTACATGCTGACCACTGTTTCTGATCTTTACGTGGTGACAGATTCAGCGTACAGAGTGATGCGGTTTCTTGACAGTGATACCAGTTTTAGCAAATCTATCGAACAAGGCATTGTACCTGACACGTTCAAGGCTGATGTCTCGTTCAGGAACGTTCAATTCTCCTATCCGACCAACTTGCTTACAATGGTATATATTTTGCATTAATTGAGTACTTGTATGGAAAAATAATCGTGTAAGTTTGAACAGCAATTGAATTAAAGTGATAAAGATAGAAAAGATTTATTTTTAGCTAAAACTTGAAATAACAGGGCATCTTGGAGCTATGGTGGGGACTGGAGTCAACCGAAAGATGACACCTGCTGCTGCCAAAGAGATACTGTTCAACGTTTATCAGCTACCAGGTCATGGCAACCTGATAACCGAAGTTTTGAGATAAACAAATAATTAAGAGTTCAAATGCCGGTGCCCGATGGGACTTTTGACTCGGCATCATTCCTCCATTCTGTCCAGCACCCCAGGAAAAATCCCGTGTTGTCTAACAGACAATTAAGGGGCGACTAAAAAAAAAAAAAGTACTAGTTCATTTTATGTATTTATAAAAGCCAATAAAATACATTTAAAACTAAATATGTTTCTGCAGAGACGACAGAATGAAAAATGCCATGAATGGAATGTCGATCAACACCATCTATTTATTGATTACAAACAAGCCTGTTACAGAAAAATTTGATGTAATTTATCAAAAATTAAAGGTTTTTGGATACTCGCTGAAGCTTTTCAGACTTTTTAAGAGGGTCCTGCAGGATAGGAAAGATCTTACGCAATGAAATGAAAATTCAAGGAGAATTTTCGACAAAATTCAGAAGGGTGTGAAACACATGAAAGGATGTGGATATCACAGAATGTATTTTTGAGCGTTTGAGATTAATGTAGTGATTATAGGAAGGACATCCAATGCAATCTTAGGAGAATTTGAGGAGTTTGAAGAAGCTGCTATAAATAAAGAGATCACTAAATCATGTTAACGATGAGGGAGGTGAAAGGCACTAGTTATTACTCCAGTGGGTTGGATATCGTTTTGAAAGAGTACCAAAATGTAGGTATCTTCGATCTGTTACCGCTGAGGGTAATAATATAGGAGAAGAAATAAAGGTAAGGATATCAGTTAGTAATGGGTGCTATTGTTTTCCAACAAAAACATTTCGAAATCTAGATTTACCACGTGCTCTTAAAATAGGAGTACACAAAACAGTCCCGCAATCGGTCATCATATTTGGAAGCGATGGACACTCACACTCAACGAAGAAAGATTATTGAACAAGTGAGAAAAATATAAAAATCCTTCGTAGATTTTATGGGTTAGCCAAAGAAGGGAATCTTTGGTGGAAAAAGATGAATAAAGAGCTGAAGAAATTATATAATGTCAGATATTATATCCACTATAAAGAGAAGAAGGATAGGATGGCTGGGTTATGTGCAATGAATGGAACAAAGTAGGTCCCCTAAATTGATGATGAAGGGACGACCGTATGGAAGGAGAAAAAAAGGACAAGCCTAGAACTCCATAGGCTGGAAGATGTCCGATCTTAGAAGCCTGGTTGTAGTCGGATGGAGAGTGACGGCAGAAGACGGGTCGGTTTTGAAGAAGATAGTATAGGAGGCCAGGTTCCTGTTAGTACCATAGCGTAATCAGATGATGAGGATAAGGATGACGACAGGATGAGGGAAAACAAAATTGAAAGATATTCCTTGAATGGACTTTTTAAAACTGAGAACACTCAGTGATGCGCTATCAACATTTTTGAGAGGGCACATTTTGACATGCTTGTGAATTTTTGAAGTGAAAAGTTTCAAACAAGGAAACATGGGAGAAATCATGGACCATACCACATCAAATGTAATTATTGTTTATGATCTACGATTTTCCTAAATTCTGCTTTCGCTTGCACTGTTTTTAAGAACGGGAGAGCAATCAAATTTCTGAGGGGGCATTAGTTAATACGCCATTGACTTTGAAGGAGATGAGCAACTCTAGTACAACTGTAATAAGCATTCAACGGCATCAGAAAAGCACTGGCAGTGGATGAAATAGCTGTGCCTCGTGATGTTGTTGCGTCCCCACCACTTTCCTTCAACACTTATTATCAAATAGGCATAACAGTTCTTTTTTTCTTTTTATGGTTATAGCCTAATTTTCACCGAAGAATAAATGTGGAAAATTCATGCTAGCCCTCAATTTTATTTATTTATTTTAATTAAGATTAAATTTGTAATAATTAAGATTTAAGAAAATTTTAAATTATAGGTGCTCCGTGATCTGACATTGGACATTGAGCCTGGTAAAATCACTGCAGTTGTAGGAACTAGTGGGGCTGGAAAAAGTACAATCGTAAGCCTGATTTCGGGACTTTACGATGTTACTGATGGTCAGGTATTTGATGTTAAAATCATATATTGCAAAAATATAGAAATAAAAATAGTTTTTTGTTTTAAATAGTTACATTTTCTTATCAGATCCTTATTGGAGGTGTGGATATAAAGAAATTAAATGTAAGCTGGCTGAGAAATCAAATCGGTGTTGTAGGACAGGAACCTACACTGTTCGATACTTCGATAGAAGAGAACATCAGATATGGAAAAACTAATGCATCTTTGGATGAGATTATTCAAGCAGCGAAGATTTCTTATGCTCATAGTTTCATCGAGAAATTGCCTTCAGTAAGTATGATATAAAAGTTAAGATATATACATAGTGGGTAATGCTACTAAGATTACAGACCATGTTGAATGATCAAATTTCAAACAAAACTTTAGATGATAAAACTTAAAAAATTTTTATCAAACTGAAAAGGGCTGGAGTACCTCAGGAATCAATGCTTGTACTTCTGTTCAACATTATATACACACCAATTTGCCTTAATACATTCATTGCAATCTATGCAGAAGACATTTCGTTTCTCAACAGATATGCTGACATCACTCAGCCATCAGAGACCCTACAACCTTATTTAAAGCAAGTAGGCCCATGCAAAAAATTGGAAAATAGAATAAAGCAACGTATCAAAAGATAAAAAAATCAATTGTTACTTTATCAACAAATCTAATCGACAAAGGAAACAAAAATTAATTTAAATCTTCATTACTGTTTGGAATCAACATGTTTACAAATTTCAATAAGCTGAATCTTTTATAAAAATTGTCCGATTTCGATGATTTTTTTCCCCTTTTGTAGGGAATTTAGTAATCTTTTATATAATCATGGACATAATGTGTGTCTAATTTTTTAGTTATTCGCAAATAAAGTTTGTTTTCTTTCATAACTTGTTGCCCTGAATTTTCGGGGTGATTGGACTATTTGCCCGCCTGAAGGAGAAGGAAGTCTTCAAAATTGATAACTCAATCTTGAAATTTGGTGAAGAATTAACGATGATATGGCTTGCCGATCAAAAAACACTATCAATAAATAGTCCTCCTCTCTCGATTATAGAGACCTCATATCGACGAAATGAGACAGGTATTCAATGACAGTACTACATGGCGTTATCTCAAAAAAAGTAGGTTTTTACGCTTAAAAACGCAGGATCCGATAGTTTCGGTGAAACTATCCGGATTTTGCTGTACGCATCAAAATCTTCAAGGCCCAATTTATCCCGTATCGATCTACAGACCTACCACCGTTCCAGTATCGAAGACTAGCATAATGTTTGTATCGACTTTATTTATTTTAGAAAGAAAAGCAAAAGTGGAGAATACGATTCGCTAACCCCCCGTGAAATTCTGAATCCAACGGTACCCCATTCATGGTATTTGAGTATGACAGGAGCTTATATTTGGTACAAAACCGATTTCGAGCCTTTCTGTAATAATATATGTGGGGATATGTGGGGATGGGGTGGGGATATTTACAGAACTGGTTTGAAAAACAGAAAATCAAACTCAACCACAATACTTCTCTTATTATGGCGAAATTGAAAAAAAAGAAAAGACGTTTGAAATCTCCTATGCAGCCTGCCCAACACCAATAATTCGTCCCAAAGCTCTTTGCAATGTTTAGTGTTGGCAATATTTATATTTTTATATTCTAGACTAACTTATTTTTAATTCATAAAATTTATTTCAACTCACACATCAGCATCCTCGATACATTGCAAAATATATTTTTCTGTTTAGGGTTATGATTCAATTGTTGGAGAAAGAGGTGTAAAACTGTCAGGAGGTCAAAAACAGAGGATTGCCATCGCAAGAGCCATCGTGAAGAAACCAAAACTGCTCCTTCTTGATGAAGCCACTTCTGCATTGGATTCTCATTCAGAAGGCATTGTACAAGGAGCCCTTGATAATGCCATGCGTGGCAGGACAACTCTAATCATTGCTCACAGGATGTCAACAGTTAGGAAGGCTGATGTTATTTATGCTATGAAAGTAAGTTATTCTTCTATTTAACGCGGAATCTATGCATGGCTTCCTCCAGCAGCTTTCGTCAATTGTTCCTGTCCTGTACAGATAGTGTTACCCAAATGCAAGACCAAGACGAGTCTTGGTCTTCCAAACTCAGTCTATGCCTTGGTCTTGCGCCAAAGTATCACAACAGTCTTAGAATTACTTATTAGCTTATTACTTCAGAGATATTACTGTAATTTTTTTAGATAGAAGAAACCTAACTTAGTTTGAATGAACAATTAGAATAGTTAAATGCAAAAATATGTTGGTTAGGGATCAATTATTTACATATAGTAACTAAAATAGTCAAGTATCAGAAAATATTTCGTCTCAATTTTTATTCAAAAAATCTTTTTACCTTCCCTGGTCTTGGTCTTGCTACAGATAGCCAGTGTTGGTCTCGGTCTTGCAAAGTGCAAGACCATGACCGAATTGGGGCAACGCTGTGTGCAGATCCCAAGTAGTTTCTTGTTCCGAGAATACCTCTTGCATCTTAAGTTACACCATCAAATCAAAGCAATCTAGGACTTTCGTTCCTTATCGAGGTTGCTTTAGGAGCTTCTTTGGTATTTCCTCTTTGTCACATGTCCTGCCCTCATTAATCTGCTAAATTTTATGACCTGTACGACGTTGTGTTTGAAGAACACGGCATATAATTTCCAGTTGGAAAGCCTTCTCATTTGTCCTGCAGCTTCAACTGTTCCATATTTATTTTTGGGGTATATTCCTTTCGAAAATCAGAAGGTCACGTCTTGAATGATAATCCATGTTTCACAACCACTGGAGAACTTGCCGTTTGGATGTTTTGTAGAGCTGGACCAAGGTTTGTCTTGACAGAAGTTGACTACAAAATTCTTTGCGTAAGCTGAAATAGTAACGATTCTAAATTACGATTCTCTTTTTAATTCCAGCTGCTACAAATCACCCTAAATAAGTGAACTACGACACTTTCTTGAAATTGTACAGGTCTATGTTTGCAATGTTTCCTGGTCTAGTAGTTTCTTCACCAGATACTTGATCTTCACTTCCTTGCCTTCTAGGCAAAGTCACACTCTTGTAGGAGACCTGTAGTGAACTAAAGAGAAATGAGAGATCGTAACGGAGAATAGTTGTAATTCATCGCACCCGAGCGCGCCCAAAAGATTATAACAGGCTTCCATACCTAGCATGAGCTTAATATAATACGGATTCTTTGTATAGAATACAGCGTCTATAATTTTTACTTTCACTTCCCCTTTGTCTGAAAATACTTATCTCTGTTGAAAATATTGGATTCCATCCAAAATGGGATATTACTTAATCTGGGAAGGGTACGGTAAATTACAAAATATATTTATTTGGAGAATATGATTAGGTGTACTTCTCGATTATCTTTTCGATTCCAGCTGCTACAAATCACCCTAAATAAGTGAACTACGACACTTTCTTGAAATTGTACAGGTCTATGTTTGCAATGTTTCCTGGTCTAGTAGTTCCTTCACCAGATACTTGATCTTCACTTCCTTGCCTTCTAGGCAAAGTCACACTCTTGTAGGAGACCTGTAGTGAACTAAAGAGAAATGAGAGATCGTAACGGAGAATAGTTGTAATTCATCGCACCCGAGCTCACCCAAAAGATTATAACAGGCTTCCATACCTAGCATGAGCTTAATATAATACGGATTCTTTGTATAGAATACAGCGTCTATAATTTTTACTTTCACTTCCCCTTTGTCTGAAAATACTTATCTCTGTTGAAAATATTGGATTCCATCCAAAATGGGATATTACTTAATCTGGGAAGGGTACGGTAAATTACAAAATATATTTATTTGGAGAATATGATTAGGTGTACTTCTCGATTATCTTTTCGATTCCAGCTGCTACAAATCACCCTAAATAAGTGAACTACGACACTTTCTTGAAATTGTACAGGTCTATGTTTGCAATGTTTCCTGGTCTAGTAGTTCCTTCACCAGATACTTGATCTTCACTTCCTTGCCTTCTAGGCAAAGTCACACTCTTGTAGGAGACCTGTAGTGAACTAAAGAGAAATGAGAGATCGTAACGGAGAATAGTTGTAATTCATCGCACCCGAGCTCACCCAAAAGATTATAACAGGCTTCCATACCTAGCATGAGCTTAATATAATACGGATTCTTTGTATAGAATACAGCGTCTATAATTTTTACTTTCACTTCCCCTTTGTCTGAAAATACTTATCTCTGTTGAAAATATTGGATTCCATCCAAAATGGGATATTACTTAATCTGGGAAGGGTACGGTAAATTACAAAATATATTTATTTGGAGAATATGATTAGGTGTACTTCTCGATTATCTTTTCGATTCCAGCTGCTACAAATCACCCTAAATAAGTGAACTACGACACTTTCTTGAAATTGTACAGGTCTATGTTTGCAATGTTTCCTGGTCTAGTAGTTCCTTCACCAGATACTTGATCTTCACTTCCTTGCCTTCTAGGCAAAGTCACACTCTTGTAGGAGACCTGTAGTGAACTAAAGAGAAATGAGAGATCGTAACGGAGAATAGTTGTAATTCATCGCACCCGAGCTCACCCAAAAGATTATAACAGGCTTCCATACCTAGCATGAGCTTAATATAATACGGATTCTTTGTATAGAATACAGCGTCTATAATTTTTACTTTCACTTCCCCTTTGTCTGAAAATACTTATCTCTGTTGAAAATATTGGATTCCATCCAAAATGGGATATTACTTAATCTGGGAAGGGTACGGTAAATTACAAAATATATTTATTTGGAGAATATGATTAGGTGTACTTCTCGATTATCTTTTCGATTCCAGCTGCTACAAATCACCCTAAATAAGTGAACTACGACACTTTCTTGAAATTGTACAGGTCTATGTTTGCAATGTTTCCTGGTCTAGTAGTTCCTTCACCAGATACTTGATCTTCACTTCCTTGCCTTCTAGGCAAAGTCTATTTGCTGATTCGATCAACGCCAGGAATACTTCTGTGACGTTCTTTGTTGAATGTCCGATGATTTCAAAGTAGCCTGAATAAGCCAGGAGCAGAATATGTGTATTAAATATTTTCCCACTAACCTTGTCTAAAGCATAGTCCACGGCTAAGTTAAGAAGAAAACAGTCAATGCATCACCCTGAAGCATATTTTTTATTGATACCTTATATTGTTCGTGGAGTTCCCAAGATTTTTTTTTGTTCTGCCGTATCTGGCTACCCTAACCTATACAGGATTTTCCCAGACCGGAGGGTGAGAGCAGGGATTGTAAAATCCCCCTCCAGAACGGGGACGCAAACTCATACTTTTTTTTAATCTTATAACTTCGGTTATCTGGTTGCTGGGAAATCCGCGGTCCTTTGCACACGCGTTAGCCCGTTCGGCCACCCCGCCACCTAAATATTAGGGTGCTCCTCTCAATGATGGCCCTTGGTTCAAGCTGGTACGTAATATAAGTGAATACCATTTCCATTTAATATATAAAACTATATTATTTTATACAATATACTATCATATATTCCATATAATATATAAAACACAGAATCCCATGTAGGATGGGCGGGTCATGGAAAAAGGCTCCCACAGCGAACTGATGGGCCTTGGAGGATATTACTACTCTTTAGCGAAGGTTCAAGAACTTGAGGAAAAGGACAAAGTTCTTATACTGTAAGAAAACATTTTATTTTTATTTTTAAATCTAAAATTTAACGGAAAAAAATGGTAAATACTTTATTACATCAACAATTTTGTCAATAGCTATGTCTTATTTTTTAAAGAATATATATATTGAAGTAATTATATGTATATATATATATATATATATATATATATATATATATATATATATATATATATATGTATTGAAGTAATTTTAAATAAATAAATAATAAATAAAAAGGCTTAGCGAACCCGAAGGGTCGATGCCGATACCACCAATCGCTTATTACACACCTCCCTCCACCGTTCGCCGTCCAAACCCAGTCCCTTCAGATCGGCTTTAATGCAATCTTCCCACCTTCGCCTCGGTCTACCCCTCGGACGCTTACCATTCGGCACAGCAAATATTAACCTTTTAGGAATTCTCTCGTTACTAAGTCCAACAACTTTACAAGCCCATTTGATTCGCCGCGATGAAATTAACTCAATTATATTACCTGGATACAGTTCACGCAATTCGGCGTTGTGTAACCGTCTCAACTCTCCGGTTAACTCATCCTTCCTCGGTCCGAATATTCTACGCAATACTTTATTTTCAAAAACCTTAAGACGCTGCTCATCCCTTAATGTAAGCGGCCAAGTTTCGCACCCATAAAGAACTGTAGGCAAGATAATTGTTTTATAGATTCTAATTTTTAAGTTCCGGGACAAGAGGCGCGAACTAAGTAGTTTTGTCACAGAAAAATAACAAGCATTTCCCGCCTTCAGTCTAACCTTAATCTCTTCTTCAATTTCGTTTTTTCTAGTTATTGTAGAACCTAGATACCTAAATTTATCTACCTGTTCAAACATATTACCATCTATATCGATATCACCAGTAGTATCGCCACTTTTGCAGCTAACCATGTATTTTGTTTTATCCACGTTTATTTCGAGTCCTAGTTCTTTACCGGGTTTCATTAACGTTGTCGTATTTAGTTTTATAGTTTCAACGTCTTCGCTTAACAGTACCAGATCATCAGCATAGCCCAGTACGGATGTTGTCCCACCACCAACTGAGTAGTTTTGTCACAGAAAAATAGCATGCATTTCCCACCTTCAGTCTAACCTTAATTTCTTCTTCAATTTCGTTTTTTGAAGTAATTTTAAAGAATATATATATTCTATATATAATTATAAACTGAATGACTATTTTTTACTTTTTTACCTATTCGACGGATCTATACGTTTAATAAAACTATCTATTTCAGACAACTATTAACGAAGTTACAGCTATTCAATTTCCAATGTAAGATTAGGGCTTCCTACTCCACATCTAGAAAATCCGTTACCCTCATTACACAAGCTTCACTATTTCCTCTACTTTTAACAGAATTTTGACAAAATTAGAGTATGGCAAAAAGTCTTTGATCAGTAATATTAGAGGGTATTGAAAATTTGACACTGATTTACCTTAAGCCGGTTTACATTTCTTTAGTTTATCAAACACATCGTACTCAAATTTTTTCTTTGATCAATTTTCAGGAAAATAAATCTAATTTTTTTTTCTTTATTTTTTCTTTATGGACATATGCTAAGGTATAAAAACTTTTCTGAAATAGGTACGAAAGTCGTGTGAGTAGACACACATGATTTTTTAATTATGAATGGCCTCTGACCCAGTTTATTCTTAAGAGTTTTGGAAAGGTATCTCCAAAAATGGAATGCATATTCTATTTTTTTTATTTTCTCTTCTTCCTTGAGAGAAAGTGAAAAAATTTTTGGGAGAAATATTTGGTATAATATGTTATATAAAAATATATGAAAAATATTTTTAGTTTCATAAAATGTACTATTCTTTTAAATATTTGATTTAATTATTATATTTGTTTCTATTTAGCCATAAAAGTGTTCATGCAGAGGAATTGACTAAAGAAGCCATCCCTCTCTTTGAGGAAAGTTTACAGGTAACATACTATTTCTCTAATTATCATATAAATATTGTTGCATATAAGATATGAATTTTGTTTTCTCTGCCACTAGGTGAAACAGAAAAACAAAACATTGAAACTGAGTAAGAAAAATCTCAAAATAATGGGAGTGTGCTTTTTAGCCATTTTGTTCACAATAACTACGTCAACATTTCTTCCCACTTTTTTCTATATATTTAGCCTTTTTTGCCAGGTAATCTTCTTTATATTAATCACTAACTATTTCTTTATTCTTAAATGTATAAATATATATATTTTATAAAAAATTGTGTTTTTAGTCATTCACGTTCGCTAAAGGTGAAATAAATAAGATAGCTCTCATCAATGTAAGTTATCTTTTCGGACTGGGCGCCATTATATTTTTCTCAGTAGCTTTTTCCGTAAGTACACCTAATCATATTCTCCAAATAAATATATTTTGTAATTTACCTTACCATCCCCATATTATGTAATATCCCTTGATTGGATGAAATCCAATATTTTCAACAGAAATAAGTATTTTCAGACAAAGGGGAAGTGAAAGTAAAAATTATAGACGCTGTATTCTATACAAAGAAATGAATCCGTATTATATGAAGTTCGTGTTACGTATGGAAGCCTGTTATAATCTTTCGGGCGTGCTCGGGTGCGGTGAATTACAACTATTCTCCGTTACGATCTCTCATTTCTCTTTAGTTAATTATCTAATTCTTTCTTGTTTTATATTTTAGTATTTTTTATATCATAAATTAATTTGAACACAGACCATATAGATACAAACCATATACAAACCAAGAAACAAACAATATAGATACATAAGGAATAAATATTGAAAATGAGCCATTTAAGCCATGTTAGAGAACATCAATGAGAATAAAACCTACATCATATTAAAAACTGCTTAATTTTGCACTAATATAATGAATTTAATCAAAATCGTTAGAGCCGTTTTCGAGAAAACTGTAAAACATATCGTGTTAAATAGATAGTTAACGAATCAGCTGCTGTGAAGACTTTATAAGTAGTGGTTTTATTCATAATATCTGTTCAAAATGGCATCTAACATACTGAAATAAATAGTGGATATATGTGTTGACTACAAGAGTTCACTACAGGTCTCCTACAAGAGTGTGACTTCAAGAATGAAACTGCATGAGTGATTTGTTCTGAGGATCATGGGGTTTATATACCCAAGAATAACAAAGGGAGTGAAGGGAAGCCGGAAGAGGACGGCAAAGGAAGCGTGGGAGAGAAGTTTGCTGAAATCAGTTACTGTTCCCTAAGTCTTGATAATGGGTCTTGTGTCCAATACACTGATATACTGAGCTTAATCAAAATCGTAAGTTCAGTTTTTGAGAAAATCGTAAAAATGTGTTAAATGGATTATATAAAGTACCACTTCCGGTTCGCCGATTTTGACGAAAATGTTGCTGTAACATCTAAGGATTATAAAAACCTGAAATACGCAATTTCACTTTCCTACGGCTTTTCATTTTGAGCTAGGCTGTTCACATACATGCATCCACGCACACACAGACCATTTTGCGGGACTTGGTTATTTGGACTCAGGGAACCTCATGGGGATTATAGTTGAAAACTGAGATTCGAAAATTTTCACGATCGCAATACTTTCCTTTACTATATATTTTATATATAGGTAAGTGAAAGGGAAAACCCGTTGCTATTGTCTAAGCAAAAAAATTATGAAAGTGGAAGTTTTGGCATGGAAGGGAAAATCAATGTCTTTCTAAATTTCTATCTAGACAGTTACTTTATATTAAATTCATTATGTGTTTTTTTTTTTAACATTCTTTCAATCTTTGTGAACACGAGACCGCTTACATCAAGTAATTTGATTGTTGCGTATATTCAAGGTATTTGTTATGTAAGTTGTTTTGACTATACATGTTCAGTGTTCAAGGATATTTTTTCCTTAATATCATATAACTTTCTGTTATATCATATTTTACTTTCACTTACGTATTTATGAAATATATAGTAAATAAAAGTATTGCGATCGTGGAAATTTTCGAATCTCAGTTTTTAACGGAAATAAATGAGTCCGAATAACCAAGTCACGCAAAATGTGCTGTGTGTGTATATAAACAGTATATCTAGCACTTAAACGAAATGTCGTGCAAAACTGATACCACGTATTTAAGATAGGTATATGAATTAGATGTTTAGAGAATCGGTTAATCGGGTAAGTGCCATTTTGCGTTAACGGTGAAACACATTTTTATAATTTTCTCAAAAACGGCTAGAACGATTTTGATTTAACTTGGTGCATCATTTTATAATTTAGTAGTATTTAATATCATTTAGGTCTTATCAACAATGATGCCACTTTACAGGGCTTAAATGTCTAATGTTCATATGAGTCTTCATCTAAAGTACCTTTAATATGGTTTATTTTAAAAAGTTAATCATTTCACATTATTCAAAGTAAAAAAAAAAAATTAAATAAACTTTAGAGGAAGAAATTTGAAACAAAATATTTCGTGGGAAATAATAGCTGCCTAATATTGGAAATAAATAAAACCCTACACCATGACCTTAATATCCCATTTATTCTTGATCTTATCCCAGCCAAATTTTCCAAATTTCACCAGAACCTTTCTCATCACCCAAATCCCGTTGTACAATCCCTATCAAGCACCACCCATCCCTACAATCCCCTTCGTAGGTTAAAGCGGCAGTGGCCACGAGACCTTTTGTAAATATGGATATTTTGGAGTTCTAGCAATGGCCAGATTTTCCACTCAAGTCATGAGTGTCTGTGGCTGTAGCGCTCTTACTCATCCTCCGCTGGTTTAAAATACCAGTGAAGTGGCTGAGGGAGAAGCGTAGGGATCTCCTAAGCCTCCCTTTTCCCTCCACATGTGGAGGGGACAGGATTGGTTCGGAGATCACCTGGCAAATTGTAAATAATGTATGTTTTATATAAGGTGTTTGTTTTACTTTCATTTCTATTTTTATTTACTTATGTGTATATATATATATTTTCTTTTTCTTTACTCTTTTGTTCTTTCTTCTTATTCTTTTGTTATTACTTTATTTATTTATATTTTTGTATATACGGTATGAATGCAATCTCTGAACTCTATTATAAGTGTCCTTAACTGTGACAAATTGTAATATTTCTGAATAAAGTGTTTTAATAAGAAAAAAAAAATATATTGGAAATAATTTTATTTTTAATTTATAAAAAAAAGTAATCAAAATCGTTGGAACCGTGTTAGAGAACATTGTAATGTCGAAATTAAGTTGTTTAAATTGTCAATTCCGGTTAGTCGATCTTGATGAGAAAGTTATTTTAACATCCAAGACATACACTTTGTAGTAGACATCCCCCGGTATTTACTCCTTTATATGACATTGGGTGAGGGAATGAGAAGGAATATATAATACATAGGAATGTGAGGTTGCACTGTGAATTGTATTCAATGGTGCAGTGGACAAATTGTTCATTGGAAAATCTCATATCGATAAAGAAGGAAAAAGGTCCGGTCAGGTAGCAGCAGCTGGAAGAGGACGCCAAACACTTGAGGCTGGACATTGAGGCGGAACACATACCTGAGAAGAGAGTCTACTACAAGATTTAGAAGATCAAGTCTATAGTTGTAACACTTTAATAGAGCCAATTTATTACAGTTGTAGAAATAAATCATTTTGTTAGACATGAATGAAAAGTCATTTGTTTATTTAGTTGTCCTACATGCCTCACGATTGAAGAATAACAAACCAGGTGAGTCAATTCATTCAAAGTATATTTACTAAGTCCCACATTTCAGATACATATTCTTATTGTTTCTTCTCACTCAGTGTCACAAAAGGAATTAGATTCCCGAATTCCCAACAACAGTTACACACCCTCAAAAAGTCTATATCCAGTGCCGGGGATTTGTTTTAATTATCTCGAGTGTAAATAACCTAGTTCCCCGATATAAAAGCGGAAGGCTATTCGCTATTCCCGCCAAAAAACAAATTATTTAACAATTAACTTTTAGTGAGTTATTTACAACTTACTGTTTATATCGTGACTTTTACATACAATTTTTCTAAACTTGTTTATTTTTTTTTTTATCTCGGGATACCTCATAATGTGTATTTCCAATGAAGACCCGGAGTGTGAAATCGATAGATAAAGTATTTATATTCTGAGAAATATGCATATTTTAATATGAATATTTTTATTTTTTTTAAGGGTGTGATGTCAACAGTTGCTACTCAACTATGGTTGGAAAAACTACGAAAAAAATCTTTCAGTAAAATAGTCTCAATTGACATTAGTTGGTTCGACTGGAGCGGAAACTCTCCCAACGAATGTCTTGAGGTATTGACTAAAAATCCACCGCTAATAGAATCGGTAAGTACTGATCTTTAGGCATCTTTCTAAATTTAATTAAACTTTTTTTTTTATTTCTTAATGACATTTACAACTGTATTACATAAATACATCAAGTAAATTTTCACATAATAGATATAATGACATGAATACACTTGCTGAGAAACTACCCAATGGTAGCACTTTAATGATATGACTACATTAGGAGATCACGGGGCCATCTTCTTTTCAGACGCCTTGGAGGGTTATCAGGAATTGAAGAGGAAGCAAGGTTAGATACGAAAGGGTTGGGATGATTCTGAACTTTATTATGGAAGGATAGGTATCTGGATTGGGCCAGATCTGAAACATAAGGAATATTAAGATCTTTGTGGATAATTTTATTAGTGACAATGTAAGGAGCATTGAGGATTTTACGAAGCATTTTGTATTGTAAGGATTGGATGCGAGAGGAATTCGATGGTTTAGTGGAGCCCCATATCTCAACTCCATAAGTCGAAATAGGTCTTATTACAGTCAAGTATATGAGTCTCTTGCAATTAATGGGAAGTTAAGAGGGTTTGTCTAGTAAGTGCTGAAGTAATCGGAAACGTCGAGCGGTTTCTTGTCGTTTCAGTCTAGTATGAGGATTCCAAGTTAGTCGTTTGTCCAGGTGGAGTCCTAGGTATCGGATTTGCTCAACAGGGTTCAATTAAACTAAAGGCAAATAACTCTAATGAGTTATACATAGCTAACATTCGACATTATTTTGGCAGTTGACTTTATTTTGATTAAAGTGGTAGGTTATACGAATTGTGTAAAATAAAACTCTTTTATGCTGGCATAGACATCTTACTTAACAGAGAGGACTTTCCAGTCTTGTCTAGGTGCTGTCTATAGGAAGTTCTTGGAAGGGGTTGAGAGCGTCTAATAGATGGAGCGGATTAAATCTTAGCTTTTAGATCATATCAGATCTGTTTTCACTACTCACCGCAACATGACGCTCGGGTATAAGGGCATTTACACAAAACAACTGAGTTTTAAAAAATAATAACATTACTAATATTCGCCAAGTGGACGAAAATCGACCAATACTATTATTGAAAATTTAGGGAATTGGCATATTTCCAACATTTGTTTTTATACTATTACTTATTCGGTCAAACAGGTTTATCTTACATATTATTTCTAAAAGGTGTTTTTTCAACCATAAATTCGTCAATTCTTCATCAAATATAATGAAAAACCATTCATTTTGAAGATATTCTTCTCCTTCAGATGCCAAAAACAGTCACATACTCCCGAAATTTAAGGAAATGAAGTTATGAAGGAAAAGAACCTTTATTAAATAACTGTTAACAGTATAATGACTGTGAAATGTGGAAGGGATTGATCACATGGACACTATCGGATCCAGAATTTAATTTTGGGGGGGGGGCTTCAGCCCGAAAGCTTTTTTTAAAATAAAAATAACGATAATTACTTTGGAAAAGAAGAAAGAAACTAACTACCTGTATGAAATGGTGTTTAAGTGATTCCTAAAGCCCTTTTAATATTAATCACACGAACAATAATACTTTAAGAGATACTTTTTTAATATTTTTTTCGATAAAACATGGTTATATTTTACCATTTTGGGGGGGTCTTCAGCCCGAAAGCTCCCTTCCCCCCGTAGATCCGCCCGTGGACATGGAATAGGGATTAGGATAATACAATATTTTTATGAGGTTATATCATTTTAGGTTTTAATATAACAAATCCGGGAATGTTAAAGAATACTGTATTTCCTATGAGGAATACTGTATTTCCGAATACGGCTTCTCCCAGAGATTTTATTCTGATAAGAAAAATTATAGACTTTGAATTATAGATACTAGTGAATATTATTTAAAAACTAGTTGGCCCGTGCGAAAAATTCGCAGAAAATTTTGTTTAGTGAAGAAATAATAAAACAATATGGAAATAAGTAGTTCCTATGTATTATGTAAGGGAGGAATTAATATTTTTCATTGGTCGATTGCAATAATCCATTAAACATAATAGACCAAAATATTTATACAAATTGCTTTGCTAGGAACTATTTCTAAACGTTGACTAGAAAGATAATAAAAGTAATAAAGACAAAATAATGTACCTAAGATTGGATATTCTAAATTATTTAAAAAAAATAAAATGTAAGAACAACCAAATGTCTTTAAGAAATAATAAAGTTAATATAAAAGCAAGAGAAAAACGTTTAGTACACTATTCTACTCCTAAATGCAATATCTTTAAACAGGAAGACATTATAAAGTATACCGAAACTAATGGACTGTATCTTTGTTGATAATTGTTCGAATTTCACGATTTTAAATTTTTTTTATAGGTAATTTAATAATCTTTCTAATTATTATTGGTAGAATCAAGAAAAATGCATACTTTTGAGTTATTCGCAAATAAAGTTTCTTTTCCTCCAGAACTTTTCTCCAGAAATTTCGGGGGAATGGGACTATTTTTCGCATGTGAAGGAGAAGAATATCTTCAAAATGAGGGGTCAATCTTTTTAATTGATAAAGAATTGACGAAGTTAAAAAAAACACCTTTTAGAAATAATATATAGGATTGTTCAGCTAATGAAAACCGTGAGGAAGCTATACCGACATTACTTCCCAGACGTTTTTTATTTATAACACTAAAGCTTGTCAATATCAAAAAAAAAAAAATAAAATAAAATAATACCGGATGAAAAACAAAGGAGAAAAAGGAACTGAACTGTTTTGCCTTTGCTATTTATACACTGACAGGCAAAAAATTCCACCCACTTAATTTTTTCATGCTTTCATCAAAAAATATTTCTGCTTTGGATTGGTCTATTGTTTTTAATGAATAAATAGGTATTCTTTTTGTTTGTTTTCAATTAAATGATTCTAGATCCCAATGTTTACTTTCTATGGAATCAAAATGTTTATTCAGTATCATTAGTTCAGTGCCGTTTCTTGCAGCACATTTCTTAGTCTCCGGCTTTTAATTTTTTCAATATTAAGTTTGAACTTATTGATGATGGACATTCCATTAGATATGCAGCTAATGCCATCGGAGTTCCATATGAAACACGAGGAACTGGTTCTTACAATAGAAGGCCCGGTTCTGGACGGCCTAGGGTAACAGAACCACTCGATGACCAGTTTTTGACTTTGAGAATTTTACGAAACCGGCACCTTACCGTTGTTCAAGCGATTCATCAGCTCGAAGAAGTTCGAGGTGTGCAAATTTCTGAACCTACCTCTCGGAGAAGATTAAATGAGTATGGGTTAATGGCTTTTCGTCCAGTAAGAGGACCAGAGTTGACCAGAACTCACAGAGTAACACGGCTGGCTTTTGCTCGAGAACACAGCCATTGGACTATGGACGAATGGAGTGCTGTACTTTTTACAGATGAGTCAAGATTCGCTCTTCGATCTCCAGACAGGCGTGAAAGGGTGTGGAGAAGAAGAAACGAAAGATATGCAGCCTGTAATTTTTCCCAGAGCCAACCTTTCCAACGTGGTTCCTTAATGGGTAACAAGTGGGTGGAATTTTTTGCCTGTTAGTGTATAATGATATTTTAAAACATTATTTTAAGTTTTTAATAATTAATATTATGAATATCAAAAATAAGTTAAAATAAAAATTATTTTATTTACAAACTAATTATCATCAACGATGATGACCCAAATAATTTATTAAGGTGACTGGTGATAGGGCGGCTCAGGTTTTCATCTTCATGCTTTCGTTAATATTCTGTTGGTGCTATTCATTCTTAGTCAGCCCAAGTATAACAGTTGCGAATTTACCAATTTTCGTAATCTTCATCATCGTCAACTGCTTGAGAATGAAATCGAGAGATTCTGACGCTAGGTCTGCTGCCCTCACAACCAGATCGACAAAGGTAAGAAACGATTTAATATTTTATAATTTAAGTTAAATGCCAATATTGATTATTTGGATATATTTCCTCTAGGTAGCTAATGAATATGTCCAAAGTGTCAAAACAATCCAAATACTAAACTGCCAAAACTATGTAATTAACAAGTATCAAGAAATGCTTGTACAATCTAAGAAGTGAGCAAGATTTCTTTTTTTTTTGCTTTGTATCAAATTTTAAAATACTCTTATTGAATCTGATTTCCCTAAATTTTATTTAGGGAGGCAATGGTAAGCATTATTTGGTACGCAGCTGTCTACGCCTCTTCGGTAGCATTGATGCGATTGTCGACCGCCATAGTGTTTATTTACGGAGCCTATGTTATCGCGAATAGCAATGTGCTTGGAACATCACTTCTTGGGTAAGGATAAAAAAGAATATTTATTTTTATATAATATTCATCTAAAATTAATTATTAGTATTTATGTACTGCACGGCACTTTTTCTCGATGTGGAACAGATAAGCGACCCTTACACGGTAATTCATGAATGAACGTCACAAGAAGTACCAAGATTGCCCGCGATCGCTTTGATCATGAAGACCCTTACACGTTCAATCATTACTGATCATTACTTATCGTTCCTGATACCAATTTAGCGCAGTTGTAAACAAAGAAACAGCATAGATATGCTTATTTGGACCTTGTCATTTATAATATTGGGCATCAAGAGAAAAACGGAGATATAATAATTACTTCCTAGTGTCTGAAAATCGTTTAAACCAAAGTTAGAAAAATATAAGTCAACTACTTACAAAAATCTAGGAAAAGTATTGCGAAAATAATCAATTTGTTAAGAAAAATGGAAAAATAAATGACAAATAAACACAACAGTTAAAGATTTTTTTTCTATAAGTAAATTTTGAAGTTTCCACTTTTTTTTTCTTCAATTTATTGCCTACTTGACTATTTAAAGAAAAAATAGTTTAAAATGGTTAATAATAATATAGACTAGAGATATAAACAACTATTTACTTTTATGAAATTATTTACTTAATAACGAGACCTAGGTAAACTAACCTATCTAGTAGTAAGGTTGAAGAAGGCAGTGGATCAGCTGATGAGAAGGTTGTCTCCTCAACTCCTCTCTCAGTTTTTACCAATTTTATAGCGGAATCTCTCTGATTATTCACGTGATACAGTTAAAGTGTATATCAGAGAGTTGATATTTACTGTTGACATCTTTTTTTTTTGTTATTTTAAGGAAAAAAAAAAAAAAAAATTTTTTTTTTTTTTTTTTATTTATTTATTTATTTTTCTCTTATGATATGCGGTATGATCAGCAAGTGATGGCCAGTAAGGTGCCCAAGAGGTCTCGGTCAGACGGAGTTAGCTCACCAGCCAAACAAAGGACTCGTCGCTGCCTACGAGAAATACCTCCAGTGACCAAAATGAACACTTCAGAACCAGAACCTCAGCCCCAACCAGGTACGTCTGCACAAGAAACGATTGAAGAATCACCTTTCTTTACTCCAAACCCCTACCAAGTGCTTCAAAATGACAGAGAAGTAATGGAGTCTGCAGCAATACCCAGAGAACCAAAGCCTCCTCCGATATTTGTGAAAAATATAAAAAATTTCCAGATGTTCTGCACCCAACTAAATAAAATCTGCTCTGGCAGTTATTCATGCCTTAACAGAACCAATGACACCAAAATAACACCTGATTCTGCAGAAGCCTACCGAAAAATAGTGAAGTACTTATCAGAAACAAATGCGAATTTTCACACTTACCAGCTGAGGCAGGAAAGAGCTTTACGAGTAGTGATAAGAAATTTACATTCCTCAACCCCCACTGAAGTTATTAAAGAAGAACTAACGACGCTTGGTTTCAATGTACGCCAGGTAACAAACGTTTTGAAGGAGGACAGGGAGCAGCCAGGATTACGAAATAGGATCCCACTACCATTGTTTTTCGTGGACTTGGAGCCATCACCAGGTATCGAAAAAATATATGATATCACAAGAATATACTACACAATGGTGAAAGTTGAGAAGCCATATCCCAAGAGAGACATCGTGCAGTGCCATAATTGTCAGACCTATGGCCACACGAAGACATATTGCTACCATCTGCCGCGTTGCGTTAAGTGCGGTGAACAGCACAAATCTGTAGAGTGCACCAAACCTATACAAGATCCAGCAGTATGTGCCCTATGCTTGGAGGGACACCCGGCCAACTACAAAGGCTGCCAAATTTACAAGAATCTCAAAACCAGACACCAGAAAAACCGGATTCAAGATGAAGCACTAAGAACAAGAAGAGAGAGAGAGCCTTCCAGAATTGTAAACAATGATGTATCATTCTCCCAACTACTTAGAGGTAAGACTTTAACCGATAAATGTCAAGCCCTGCCACAACAACAACCTCAAACCCAACCTCAAAATCCTCTTCATCCTAATATACCTAACCACCAACAACAAATTCCTCATATTCCTTCTCCTTCAAATGCAACAGATCTCACAAGTTTGTTAGCATCTTTCCTCACCGATTTCAAATCCCTTGTTACTCCACTCATATCACTCCTCACGAATCTCGTATCTCACCTCATCCCTCCTTTGAAAAATCCTTAAATGACTCACATCCCTAAACCCATATCCATTCTCCTTTGGAATGCGAATGGTGTTAGAAATCATACAGACGAACTATCTACTTTACTACTTGACAAGAACATTGATGTGGCACTAATTACTGAAACTCGACTAACCACTAAACAGCACTTCAATATACCACAATACCTGACATATCGTACTGACCACCCTGACGGAAAAGCACATGCCGGTACTGCTGTAATTGTACACCAATCCCTCTCCCATCACGTACTCCCATTACCAATACATGATTTCCTACAGTCCACCGCTATCGTGATAAAAACCTTCTCCTTTCCGGTCACTCTTGCATCAGCGTATTGCCCTCCTAACCGATCCATATCCAATGCCCAATTCAGTTCTCTCCTCGACTCCTTAGGACATCACTTCATCTTGGGTGCAGACCTAAATGCCAAGCACCAACAATGGGGTTCCAGAACCACGAATTCTCGTGGCCGAACCCTGCTGTCTGCACTCAATTCCCAACGTTTTCACCTCATTTCCCCCAACTCTCCTACCTACTGGCCCACAGATCCCAACCGTAATCCTGATCTTCTTGATTTCTTTATCCACAGCGGCTTAAGTCCCCTCAATTGTTCCATTACACGTCTAAATGAACTTTCCTCTGACCATAGTCCTCTAATCCTTAATGTTTCACTTGAACCTGTTCCCAAACCTTCTCCACCGTCATTCATTAGGGGCCCAGTAAACTGGGACCTTTTCCGCCAAATAATCTCCGATAATATTGATCTCAACATATCCCTCAAAACTCCCGATGACCTTGATAGTGCCGTAAATTCCTTTACTACCACAATCCAACAAGCCGCCTGGACTGCCTCCTTCCCAAAAGACTCCTCCAGAATTCCTATAAAGACCATTCTACCCCAACACATCCTTAACCTAATCCGCACCAAACGCCGTGCCAGATTATTATGGCAACGTACCCGACATCCTACCGACCGCTGCTCCTATAATTACTACTGCAAACAATTAAAACTGGAATTAGCCACCTTCAGATCACAATCCTTCAACTCCTACCTATCCTCCCTCTCTTCTCGCGACAATTCCCTTTGGAAAACCACAACAAAAATCCTAAATCCTCACCGCATTTCCCATCCTCTCCGACGAGGTGATGGCTCCTGGGCAGCATCTGACGAAGATAAAGCTGAGGAGTTCGCCATTCACCTATCCAATACATTTATTTCACATCCGGAATCCCATCCTGCCCACACCGTAACAGTAGAAGAACTCCTTACATCACCAATCCCACTTTCCTTGCCCCCAAAAGCTATTCATCCTTCCGAAGTAAAATTTCAATTAAAAAAACTAATCCTCCGTAAAGCTCCTGGACATGATCTCCTTACACCTCAAATCCTTCGACAACTTCCATCCAAAGCAGTCATATTCCTTACATATATCTACAATTGTATCCTACGCACCACCCACTTCCCTCTGTTATGGAAACACTCCACTATTATCCTCTTCCCAAAACCAGGAAAACCTCTCAATAGCTCAACATCCTATAGACCAATCAGCCTACTCCCAATCCTTTCAAAAATTTTTGAAAAGATCCTTTTGAAACGAATCCTACCCATTATAGAATCCCAAAATATTCCTTCCCATCAGTTTGGTTTTCGCTCCCAACATTCTACTGTTCAACAAGGACTCCGAGTTGTTGATCATATTTCCTCAGCCCTAGAAAACAAGGAATACTGTTCGGGTGCATTTCTGGACATTGCACAGGCATTTGACCGGGTATGGCACTCCGGACTGCTCTTCAAGCTTAAAATCCATTTACCTCAGTCCTTGTACCTAGTCCTCCGATCCTACCTCTCTGACCGCTCCTTCCGAGTTCGCTGTGGAACAGAATTTTCCAATATCTACTCCGTTAAAGCCGGTGTTCCCCAAGGCAGCGTCTTGGGTCCCGTGCTTTACATCCTCTTTACTGCTGACATCCCTGTTCATCCCGATACTTTTCTTGCAACATTCGCTGACGACACCGCAATCTTATCATCCAACTCTGATCCCAACATAGCATCCTTAAATCTCCAAAACCACCTCACCTTGATTGAGCACTGGTGTAATAACTGGCGCATTAAAGTTAATGAATCTAAATGCCAACATATTACCTTTACACTCCGACGCAGTTCCTGTCCACCAGTACACTTTAATTCCATCCAGCTTCCTTACTCAGACACAGTCCGGTATCTTGGCTTTCATTTAGACCGAAGACTAACGTGGAACCCACATACTAGACTCAAAAGACAAGAACTCAACCGACGATACGGCCAGCTATACAGACTACTAAACAGAAAATCCAAACTTTCTATTGAAAACAAATTACTTATCTACAAGACAATACTGAAACCTATATGGACATACGGACTTGAACTGTGGGGGACAGCAAAAGCTTCTAACATCAAACGTATTCAATCCTTTCAATCTAAAGTCCTTCGAACAATAGTTGATGCTCCGTTCTATGTAAATAACAAAATCCTACACCATGACCTTAATATCCCATTTGTCCTAGACCTTATTCCAGAAAAATTCTCCAAATTTCACCAGAACCTTACCTATCATCCAAATCCCCTTGCACAATCTCTATCCAGCACCACCCATCCTTACAATCCTCCTCGAAGGTTGAAGCGGCAGTGGCCCAGAGACCTTTTGTAAATAAGCATCTATTGGAGTTTTGGCAATGGCCAGATCCTCCACTCAAGCCCGAGTGTGTATGATTAGGTTAGTTCTTTTGTTTATATACATTTATTTTATTTTATTGTATTTATTTTTATTTTATTTTTTTGTATTTATTATTATTAAGTTTCTGTATTATTTATTTTTTTTTATTGTAAATAGAGTGTGAGTGTGCTTTCTCTGATCACTATTATAAATGTCCTTGATGTGACAGAATGTAATATTTCTAAATAAACAAATATAAAAAAAAAAAAAAAAAAAAAAAAAAAGTAGTAAGGTTAGTCTCATAGAAAATCGTTTTGACAAAAGTTAGTAAAATATAAGGCAACTACTTACAAAAATTAAGGAAAGGTATTGCGAAAATAATAAATTTGTTGAGAAAAATGGGGAAAGAACTGACAAATATACAGAACGTTAAAGTTTTTTTTTTTTCTTAAAGTAAATTGTGAAGTTTCCACATTTTTTTTTTAATTTGTTGCCCACTTGACTATTTAAAAGAAATAGTTGAAGACGGTTTAAAATTATAAACAAGGGATATGAAAAATTATTTAACTATTTCCATATAGTAAAAATCAGAAATTTATAATGGTTTTGAGGCCTAGGTAACCTAACCTATCCAGCAGTATGGTTAGTCCCCCCACTACTTTTACCTCAGCCCCCCCTCCACTTCTCGTGAATGAACCTTTGATTTCCGGATGTTCGGAAATCCGCAGCGCACCACCATCAGTACTTCATTCACAACCTTACACGACAATTCGGAACGTCATTAGTGCAATTCCGATTGACCGTGTAGGGTCCCCTATAGAACCTTTAAAATAAATTGTAACTCTGCATAATCATCTATCTTTTCCCAGTCCGCCGGTGTTCCTCAAGGGAGCATCTTAGGTCCCATCCTTTACACAGTATATAAGCTCGCTAAACGAAAAATAAAAACGAAGAATTTTTACTGAACGAAAATCCGATCTCTAGTCATCTGCATAGGAAGTGAGGACGGTTAAGGAAGGGGTTGGGATATCAACCGTCCTCACTTCCTATGCAGATGACTAGAGATCGGATTTTCGTTCAGTAAAAATTCGGAAAACGTGCAGTAAAAAACTCAAAATATGCAAAATCATGCAGTAAAAATTCAAAATACCTATAATTATGTAATTAACACATAAAAACGTTTAAAATCATCCATATTATTTAATTTATAACCTGAATGCATCGAAATATTATCAGATCTTCAGTTAACCGAGAGTTTTTTAGAAAAAAAAATTGAAATGTTACATTGAAAATGAAATTCCAGATTATAATCAACTATTATAATAACGATTATTATTAAATAATGCAGAACATTAAAGGTTTGAAGGAATAAATTAAGGCAGGAATTATGGCCTGCCCTAATGTACAAGGAGCTATTAAACGGGATCATAACTGGAAGGCAGCAGAAGTAGGATCTACGAATTTCGATTATTATCGAGTATTTTCACAAGTATTTTATATTTTTGTTATTTTTTTTATTTTATACATTTTTTACTTAGATGTTTTCTTCTTGTTTCTTTTTATTTAATCATTTAATAATTAATCATCGTCTTTCTTACGCCTTCAACCTTCTCCAATTCAAGTCCTCAGTCCACTTCTTTTCCACAAGATCTCGACCTTCCGACCTTTACATTCCTTCTCACAGATCTGACTCGTTCCAAAACTGTTTTATTGCTCGCTCTGTTAATTTTTGGAATTCCCTTCCTATCTACATTCAAAACCCTCCTATTCCAATTCCTGTCCCAAAAACAGTCAGATAAAAGTATTGTAACCTAAAAAATTCTAAAAATTTATATTTATATTTTAACATTGTACATAGTTTTAAGTGTCATGGCAAAGTTTCAAGAGTTTTGTATATAGATTTTGGTTTATTATTTTCAATAATGAAACATTTTGATTGACCAAAAAATTCAAAAACATAACCCCCCCTCAAAATTTGAGGTTTCACGTTTCAAGACGCGTAGAATTCGAAAAATGAATAAAATTTTTTTGTCCGTCCGCCATCCGCCGTCCGCGCATTTTCTCCGAAACTACTGGACCGATTTTTTTCAAATTTTGATATAAAATCAGAGGTCACCGAGGACGATCCTCCTTCATCGATATTACTCTCCGTCTTTAACTTTGAAAATGGCGGCCGAAAAACCTGCTGGTTTTTTATGGCTTTTTAAAAGTTTACGAAATTTCCTAAAAAACAAAAAAAGAATCTTTAAAATCGGACAATTAGGAGCAAAGATATGGTCTCTGGTTTTTTTTTTTTTTTTTTTTTTGTGTGTTCTACCCCAAAAGTTATATCCTTGGTTTGGTTTTTAAATTTTAAATGTGTTACTTAACTAATGCTAATTTTTTTAGCATATTACTAATGATTAAAAAAAAAACAGTTTAGTCCAATAATTGGAATCACCTTTTGTTTTTGTTTTCTTTGTAACTCGGAAGGTAATGTTACTTTAGATGTATAATTGTTTGGAAATAATAAACCATTGTGAAATAATTTGCAGCGTTTTTTTTTATTTTATTTTGTATATAGTATGTATAACTAATATTTTCTTTACTGATTTATCTTTATCTTGACTTTTTATGTTTCTTTTTATTTGGCCAGATATAACATCTTAATTTTTTACTTTTTTTTTTATTCTGAAGGGACTTCGTCCGAGAATAAAATTATTTTCTATTCTATTCTATCTCAATTTTGCATATAACTGTATGAATGTACACACAGAGCGTTAATACCCAATGTACTTGGTTAAGACAGATTGTATTCTTATTTGTCCAATAAAAGGTTTATTTTTGAAAAAAAAACAAAAATAATGTAATAGTGAATACATGAAGAATACATTTTGTCTAGTGTTGTATTCACCCTGTGTTCGGCAAGCATGCTGACTGGACCTGCTTTGATCTTGCTGAGCCAATATCCAGCGGCCAGGGAGGCCACGAAGCAACTCAACAGGATCGCCAATATTAAACCATCTCTCAATACATTGACGGATCAAGGAGTTAAACCAGTAAGTGTCATTGCAAATAATCCAAACATATCTTTACTTGTAAGTGATTATTTATTATTTATTTAAATTTCTTATACCAAACGATCAACTCCCAGCACCCTTCCTATATCTGTTGTCTCCTCCAGCCTAAACCTTTAGTCCACTCAATAAAATCGAGATCCCGTGTTTCTGACCTCTATATTCCATTCCACTGGACAAAAACCTATGAACGTTCCTTCTTAGCCCGCTCCGTCTCCTATTGGAATTCTTTGCCACATAACATCCGCCATGCCTCTTCCCTGTCAACTTTCAAATACCTCCTTTTCCAATATCTCCTTACATCCCAAACAGATGATTCGCAACCATAAATTTCTTTTTATGAACTAAATCTATGAGAAGTAAATGGTGGTGTCTATTGTTAAGTTTTAACATAAAACAGCAATGATCTTCGACTATTATTTTTACTATTTATTTGTTTTACTCTTCGCCTCTAGTTGTGCTTTTTCTTTCGGGTATATATATTATTATATAATTTTTGTCTCTCTGTGTACCAATATGAGTACGTACGTATACATAGTTCTTTTTTTTTCAATTACATCACAAGTAATCCTGAGATTCTATTTTAGCTTAGTGTTTATTATAAAAATCACCGTGGATATTATTACATTTTGTATTAAGTTATTTTTCTATTAGATAGCCTAGTGTCTATAAATTGTGTAGTTATGTATATATGGATATTTAATTTCTATTCTTTTTTTTTTTTTTTTTTTTCCATCACTATAATAAGTAATTTTGAGAAGATTTTATGTTCATTTGTATATATATATTTTTTTTGTTTATTTTTTAGAGGTTACATACTACTTTTTAAATAATGTATAGAATGTTAGAATGTTTATAATTTAGTTTTTGGCCAGATTTGTATTTTATTTTTGAACTAATTCATCATTGTTATTCTAAGGGGACTTAGTCCCAGAATAAAGTTAAATTTTCTATTCTATTCTATTCTATTTAAAAAATAATTTATATTTCAGGAAATAAGTGGGAACATTATCTTCCAAGATGTGGAGTTCTCTTATCCAACTAGGGACAAAGTCCAAGTTCTCACGAAGCTGAATCTCAAGATTGAAGCAGGGAAGTCGGTAGCTCTTGTGGGAGACTCAGGATGCGGCAAATCGACAATCATCTCACTTCTAGAGAGGTTCTATCTTCTCAATGACGGGAAAATAGTGAGTTTCATCATACAATTATTTTTTTATTTTACTTAAGGGTATTGTTAATGCCACAGCGTTAATTTATTTTCAACATATTTGGTTAATTGTAATTTTGATTTGTCTCATAAAATGAAACCAATTAATAATTACATGTATATATTCTTTGGTCCATAGCTTATTTTGTTTATATTCAATAGGTCAATAGTTTATACTTAAGTTGGTATCGATTGTAGCCCTAGCTATAAACAAGTGCTAGGTTCAAGTCCTAAGGCGGTAGAATTGACAATAGACAGTCTGACACTGAGCTGAGTACTGCCAACTTCAACACTGCCCACTGCAGTTCTACTCTGAAGAGACGTACTTCTCTCGTCGTGCTCGCCGCTGCCAATTTGCAGATCTAATTATATGAGCGCTCATATCGAACCTACGTTCAGTCGCTGAAGAAGGATTGGAGTGCCAGCAGTTCATCCATATCTACGACCGTCACCTGCTTGCGACCGCGTAAACTTGATCAACTTTTATTAATTTGTTTTCGTTTAGTTTTTTAATTCCTAATTAGGTTAATATATATTTGTTAATTTTTCCATAATCAAACATCCAACTATTTTATTAGATATTTCATAATTATTATTAACATTGTAATCAGCTTATCATTATTTTCATTTTAGAAGTTATTAATTTATTTTATCTATTGATACCACTGTAAAATTGCTTTCATTTATTTTTTTTTGTTTTCATTATTAGTAGGTGTAAATGTTTCAAAATAAATGTTTCATAATACAGTTCACTTTCTTTTAAATTGCAATCAATTTAATTCGAATAATAGTTAGGCTTCATTCGAAGTTGATTTAAACTAACAGAGAGCTTAACAGGTATACATAATAATAAAAGGCTTAGCGAACACGAAGGTTCGATGCCGACACTACCAATCGCTTATTACATACCTCCCTCCACCATTCGCGCTCCAAACCCAGTACCTTAAGATCAGATTTAGCGCAATCTTCTCATCTTCGCTTCGGTCTACTCCTCGGACGTTTACCATTCATTACAGCAAATATTAACCTTTTAGGAATTCTTTCGCTATTAAGCCCAACAATTTTACAAGCCCGTTTAATTCGCAGCGATCTAATCACCTCAATTATATTAACCAAATACAGTTCACGTCCGAACTCTCCGGTTAACTCATCCTTTCTTGTTCTGAATATTCTACGCAATATTGTATTTTCTAAAACTTTTAAACGTTGCTCTTCCCTTAATATAAGCGGCCACGTTTTGCATCCATAAAGAACTGTAGGTAAGATAATGGTTTTATAGATTTTAGTTTTTAAGTTCCGGGACAACAGCCGCGAGCTAAGTAGTTTTGTCTCAGAAAAATAATAAGCATTTCCTGCCTTCAGCTTAACCTTAACCTCCTCTTAAATTTTTGTTTTTTCTAGCTATCGTAGACCCTAGATACATAAACCTCTCTACCTATTGAAACATATTACTTTCTATATCGATATAATCATTATTGCAGCTAACCGTATATTTTGTCTTATCCGTGTTTATTGCTAGCCCCAGTTCTTTACCGGCTTTCATTAACCTTGTCGTATTTAGATCTATAGCTTCCGTGTCTTCGCTTAACAGGATCAAATCATCCAAGCACAGGTGTTGTCCCGCCCAGATCCAACTCTTTTTCGGTACGCATTACATCCCTAAGGGCATGTTCTAATGCCAAATGGAAGAAGACAGACGAAAGAGAATCACAATGTTTTAAACCCAAACGAACCTCATACTTTTCGGATAAATTATAATCGATTCTAAGTTTATCGAGTGTTTCCATCAAGTACATCCTGACTAGATTTACTAATTTGTTTGGAATCCCCTGCTCGATTAGATTATTATACAGTTTTATTTATTTTGTTTAAGGATATATTCTTCAAAAATTGAAGTTTCCCTCAGCCAGTTCCTCCACTTCTCTCTGCCACTTCGCCTTTTTTGGGTCCGATTTCTGAAGCTTAGCAGCTCAGTTCCCTACTCACTGAGCTACTCCACTCTCTGATTTACCCTGAATATAATAATAACGGCATATGACGAAAGAAACGCAACCCGATTTATTCTTTAATGTATAAAATTTACTTCTAAAGATAAGGATGAAGTAAAAAAATATAGCTGTTGGAAAAATATCATATATGGTTCATATATAAAATACATTTCGATACTTCGTTTTTCAGTTAATCGACGGAATCGACATCAATGATATAAACGTAAGATATTTGAGAAGTAAAATGGGTCTCGTTTCGCAAGAGCCAGTTTTATTCGATATGACAATAAAGGAAAATATCCATTATGGTTTCGAGGAAGAGGTTACAATGGACCAGATTATCGAAGCAGCGAAAATAGCAAATATTCACAACTTTATAACGAAACTTCCCCAGGTATGTTAAATATGTATTAATTTTGTAATATTAGATGTACTGATTAAGATGGTGAGAAAAAAAAAACATTGCTAGTAATTGAGTGTTATTTTTACCTTCACTCAAGTATTTATAAAATATATACTGAAGGAAAGTATTCCGAAATTTTCGAATCTCAGGAATCGAAATAACCAACTTCAGCAAAATGAACTCTGTCTAGGTGTCTGTGTTTAATAGCATGTAAACATTCTTAACTCAAAAATGAAAAGTCGTATGAAAATGAAATTTCATATTTAGGATTTGTGTATACCTGGGATTTTACAGCAACGTTTTCGTCAAAATTGGCTAACCAGAAGTGGCAGTTTATACTATCGATTTAACACGGTATGTTTTACGATCTTCCCGAAAACGGCTCTAACGATTTTGATTGAATTCATTATAATAGTGTAAAATTAAGCAGTTTTTAGTATAATGTAGGTTTTATTCTCATTGATGTTTTCTGACGTGGTTAAATGGCCAAATCCTTTAATTTATTTTTTTTTAAACTACCACTTCAAATTAATCTCTGGTATAAAAAATAGTAAAACATAAAAAATTAAAGAATTAGATGATTAACTAAAGGAGAAATAAGAGTTCGTAGCGGAAAATAATTGTTTGTTTTTTCTTTTTTATTGATGATGCCTGAATCTTTCTTGTTCTTTTCCTGAATTTTATAAAGATCTGGCTATGTAGATGGATTTTTCCAATTATAAACCACTAATGGGAATTCTTAACAAAAAATTATTGGACTACATAAAACGTTTGTTTACTTATCTTCTTATACTTCAAACAAATTTTCAGTTAAATTGTTTAAGAAAATTTTTTTTTTTTATTTCTGTATTTTATAAGAATTTATATATTTTTTTTAAAAAAAGAAGGCAGATGATAAGTTTGCTCTTATATGGATGAAATTGGGGGGGAGGAGGACGTATTGGTATTGTGTTAGTGCTCGAATCAACGCATTTACTTTTTCTTCTAATTATTTTTTCTCACCATGTTATCCTTTTTAAATGTCTATTTATTTATTTTTGTAATAGGCAGGAGATAATTGTCCCAGAAATATATCTCATGGTATATTATTTAAATACTAAGCATCACTTTACGATGCATTATCACTTAATTACGCCCAATTCCCGGCAGTGATACCTTGTCTTGAGGATTAAGACAGCGATTAAGACTTGTGATAAGACTGCCGGGAAGTCAGTCTGGAACGATCTTTTTCCACCTTCTCACCAGCTCCTCAAGTTAACTCAATCTCACCGGCAGAGAATAGCGCCTTTTTGTACAGAACAGCTGATCTTGGAATTCAGGAGCGAGCTTTTCTGGATATAGGATCTGTGCTGGAGATTGACAGTACTCCCCACCCCACTAGTTGCTCCGGGTTCAACCCACCTAACTCCATTTTCTCACCACAGCTGGATAGATTTTCGGTCATCGATCGAGATCGATATGCGTATCGATTCCAGCACCATTCACGGCTGAACGTCAAGCGAGGTAACCTCGTTGAATGTAAGACTATTTATCTACTACCCTGTATGATATTTTCTTCTATATTCTTCACGTTCTCCAAAAGACATTTGTAATTAGTTTAATTTTTTTCCTTTACTAAATTTATTTTTCTCTTATTATTGATCTATAATTTTAGAAGTTAAATTTATTTATGTTTTATTCCTAATAGTTAATTTGGGTTTATTTTTACTGAATATTATATTTTATGTGTGGGTTTTATGTCAGTAAATTTCTATACTCTTGTTTCATTTCGTTTTGTATATAGAATGTTATGTATTATAAGGACCACATGTGGAATATATTTAATTATTTCAAATGAAGAAATATATTCTAAATAATAATTGCTAACACATATCCGGTTACCTGAGGGAGAGTGGCGACCCACTAGGGAATGCCACCTTTTTTGAGGGGCAATAAAACACCAAAGGACCGACATCGGTCTTAAGTGGGCATGTTTGGAGAGGATCGGAAGTCTTGCATAAGAAAGGGAAGGAACAGCCTTCGAAACACCTTCGAGAAAGAGGAAACAACTGTACGGCCTGGAGGCGTGGTGCTACTAAAGTTCAAGCAATGAGAACCATTCTTGCCACACCCTGAATATTGCTATAAAATCTAATGAAAAGGAAGAAATAGGGCTGATGTGGAGAGACGGCCCTGAGTAGATGGCTTATGTCGATCTCCGGCCTGCTGGAAAGAGCTTATGTGGAGATCCGGCCTAGAGGAGAGGCCTGATGTCGAGATCCGGCCTTGAGGGTGGGCCTTACGTTTTGTTCCGGCTAGTGGACCGAAGCCTTGGTCCTACATAGACCATGATGATCCTGGCAGAGCTTTGAACCATGACGATATGACCTCAGATCAGCAGATGCAACGATCAAATCTACCAACTACCCCACGTCATATCCAATAATTAAGTTTTATTCCCAACCCTAATGTTAAAATATTTCATGGCAATATAAATTTCAAAACAGTCCATCTGAAATCATGCCTTCACAGTTAATTGTTAATTCATTGATTCTTGTAACTATAATTTGTAATTCTTGTAAATATAATTTGTTTATATTCTTTATTAAAAGTAGAAATAAACCTATTTATATCATTATAATCACAGGTAATGTGTGTAGTTAGAAAGCATGATTCCACAAACCAGCCTTTGAGAAAAGAAATCCAATTAATTAATTCTGGACCAATCAATATATTATAGATCTGAATTTATTTTACTAGTTTTATATTATTAAATAATTTTGCGTAATTATCATCAATAATTATCCAGTGGGATCCCGAATAAACTTAAACTCCCCAAAAGTAGCAATATATATATATATATATATATATATATATATATATATATTTTTAATTTAAATATGATAAATATTGTAAACATTAAAAAGGGGAATTATTTGTTTTCCATTCCGATTAATTGAATATTTTTATTTAATATTATTTTGATGTTCATGCGTTTATGCCTCATTTTTTCTCTTCTTTCCCATCGTTCAATTTTACTCGTATTTTCCCCACCTTAGAGGAATCACACCGGAGAAAGGTTGGTATTTAAATTTTGAAATATCCCTTACCCCAAGAGCAACCAATGTTATTATATCATCCTATACATAGTCATTATCTATACATATCAAAAAATATTTCAGGGTTATGACACCCCAGTTGGAGAAAGGGGTTCGAAGCTATCAGGAGGACAGAAGCAGAGGATCGCTATTGCTCGGGCTGTCCTCAGGAATCCTAAGATATTACTTCTGGACGAAGCAACTTCTGCGTTGGACTCAGAAAATGAGAAGGTATTTGGAATGTTATAACTATATGTAACTATATGTAACTGATATTTGAATCAAAACAAGATATATTTCAATGTTTAAATAGTTTACTTGCTTGTTTTTTGTTTTTATTTTGCAGGCTGTGCAGGAAGCTCTGGAGAACGCCTCTATTGGTAGGACCACTATCGTGATAGCTCACAGACTGTCGACGATCCGTAAGGCAGACAAGATAGTGGTCATCCAGTCTGGTGTGGTGGTAGAGGAAGGGAACCATGAACAGCTGATCGAAAGGGGAGGTTATTATTGCAACCTGCTCAGTAGATAATATATCATCTGTGTAATGAATATTGTAAATTATCAGAGGCGGATTCGTTTGACGGATACTCACAGACAAGACAGGTATGCTGCCCCCACATTGTCGACGTTTGTACGAAAATCCTCGTATTTGTACGAGGTTGTGAAGTATTGTACGAGGTAAGAGTATCAACCAGCCTCATACCTCGTACATAGTTTTTGCTAAAGTATCCAAAGTTATATTTTTATAAATGAAGTTTAGATTTGTTTTACAATTATTTTTACTGTGTTATTATTTATATTGATATGTAATACTAAACTTCTGTTGCTTTAAAGACAAATAAATTGCAATTATATCTTCTTTAATTAGAGTATAATTTTTATTACCTTCATAAAACCATGATTGTATATATTATATGTTTTATTTTTTAATTTTCAAGAAAATAAAATTTTAAAAAGAATTGTTATCGTCATTGTACAAAAAAAAATTTTTTATTTATTTTTTTTTAACTTTTATTATGATATTTACAACTATATTTGTATGAATACATCAAGTAAATGTGTACAGAGGAATAAAATAATATGAAACACGCTTGTTGAGAAACTACCCATTGGTAGCACTCTAATAATTTGTCTACATTAGGAGATCACGGAGCCATCTTCTTTTCCGACGCCTCAGAGGGTTATCGGGAATTGAAGAGGAAGCAAGGTTAGAAACGAGAGGATTGGGATGATTCTGAAGTTTATTATGGAAGTTTAGAGCGTTTGTCTAGTAAGTGATGGAGTAAGCGGAAACGTCGAGCAGTTTCTTGTCGTTTCAGTCTGGTATGAGGATTCCAAGTGAGACGTTTGTCCAGCTGGAGTCCAAGGTATCGGATTTGTTCTACAGGGATAAGTGGGGTGTTATTAAAGGATACTATAGGGCAGCAAGTCATTGGTTTACGACGAAGGGTAAAGATGATTGGAATTTATTTTAATCCTCCAGTTTTGACACCATTCTTCAAGGTTTGTGATGTGTTGGGATGCCAGCTGTATAAACTGTGTAAAGGATAGGACCAAGGATACTACCTTGAGGAACACCGGCAGAATGAGAAAAGAGGAATGAATAGGTATTATTGTGATTTACTTAGAAGTGTCTATCAGTAAGATAGGAACTTATGATAAGAAAATATGTAGGGGGAAGGAATTTACGGAGTTTGTAAAGCAATCCCGGACGCCAGACTCGATCAAACGCCTGTTCAACGTCGAGAAAAACTCTAGTGCAATACATTCCGCGCTCCAATGCAGAGGAGACAACGTCTACCACACGATGACATTGCTGGATAGTGGAATGGGATGTGCGGAATCCAAATTGGTGATCAGGGATTATGTGGTTAGAATCTAGGATGGGATACAGGCGTTTTAAGATGAGCTTCTCCAGGATTTTGCCCATGATGGGTAAAAGAGTGATAGGACGGTAAGAGGATGGGTATTCTGGTGGCTTTTTGGGTTTATGTATCATTTTGACTATTGATAGTTTCCAAGGGTCAGGAAAATATGTGCAACGGAGTACGGCATTATAAATGTAAGTTAGGAATAGAATGGCTTTTCGAGGAAGTAGTTTAAGAATATGGGAAGTGATTAGGTCGTGGCCAGGTGCTTTGCGGGAGGGTAATCTGTGAATAATATTGGATATTTCTGAAGGATGAAATGCTTTAGGAGGAGTCATTTGGAGTGGAATATCCAGTTCTGTTTCAATATATTCAAGCTGATTTGGATTAAGGATATCAGGATGTGGATTAAAAGTTTTGAAGAGGTGATGAGCAAAAATTTGGGATTTTTCTTCATCAGATTTGGACCAAGTTTGAGCTTCAGTAAGAAGTGGGTAATTAAAGTCTTTAAATTTCAGGAGGCGTTTAGTCGTTTTTCCACAGTGCAAGTTTTTCAGTAAAATTTAGTAAATTTTGAATTTTGTATTTTCTAATTTCTGATTTTAGTTTGTTAGTCAGTTGTGTGTAATGAGTTTTATCTGTTGGTACAAAAATAAATCGTTTTTTTATCGAGTTTAAAATAAAATATATTCTTCATAAAACTACGATTGTTACATAATTAATTTAAATAGATCTAAGTAAGCAAACTAAAAATAAAAGTTTAATAATAAAAAATTGCTATTTATTAATTTCAATTATATTTCACCTAGTTTCGAATTTCGATGAAATCATAATAATGTGTTTTCCGTTTATTTTTAATAATTTTAGGAATATTTAATGCTTTAAAAAGTTTGTTTTTCTAATTTAATTTTTATATAAAGTTTCTGAAATAGTTTCTAAAAATATATGCTCTTTCTTATATGTTTAATCTCTTAAAAAATGCCTTTAATTAAAATCATTTTACTTCTTGACCCATTAACTTAAAAATATATATAAACTACCACAAAATAAAACTAGAGGAATTGTAGATGTCTTCTTTAGGAAATGTAAACAGAAGGTAAACGTCGGCAAATATAAAAATACATATAATTATTAATTTTTACTATTTTTTATTTTTACTGATCATCGTAACCATCCTTCTCTTCAGTTAATAATATTTCATAAGATGATAACAGGAATGTTTTGTTCCTTTTAATTTTTAAAATTTTAACTATCCACAGAAAATAGTTAAGAAGTTATAAATTAATTGTATGTGGGTATATTTTATTAAGTCAAATATACAGATTGTTATTACTGAAAATATATTAAAATCGGAGCAGATGATCTCACATATTTAGTACCATCTGTATTACAGTAGATGGCGACAGTAATAGTTCATTTATGATGAACTGCAGCTTTCGCCACCTACAGGAACACGATGGTACTAGATTTAGTACCATATGTGTTTCTTTAGGTGGCGCTGGAGTGAACTAATGAACTAGTTCAATAAGGTGAACTGAACTAAAGAAACTAGTTCCTTAAAATAACGATTTTGTCCAGCACAAATTGACTTATCAGTATTGTAGGCAATCGATTCTTAAAATTGAAACGATTCAAAGTTCTTCATGACTAGAAACGATTATGTTCTCCATCAGATTCAAATTGTCCCAGAACTTTTCTTCTCCCATATCCTCGACAAGCATGTGTTCCTGCTTTGAAGGCCCTTGGATATCGGTGAAGGCTATCTGGGGCAAGTTCTCTTTAAACGTTTTTCCATCCAAGGTTCTGTAACAAATTTTTTTGTTCATGTTCAGTTGATTTGAAAATAATTTTAAAATATCTACTATATTCTTAACATACTTTTTAAAGATATTTATTTATATACATAGCCTGTATTTATAAATAGCTTTAATCTACCACTCTTAAAAAATAATTAAAAATAATAATACGATTAGGACATAAAATAAGCCATTTAAGCCCTGTTTGAGAACATTAATCAGAATAATAACCACATTTTATTAAAAGCTGCTTAATTTTACACAGATATGATGATTTTAATCAAAATCGTTAGAGCGGTTTTCGAGATAATCGTAAAAATGGGTTTAGTCCATTATATAAAGTGCCACTTCCGGAAAGCCGATTTCGACGAAAGTATTGCACTAACATCCCTAGCATATAAAAATATTAAATATGCAATTTCACTTCCGCACGAATTTTCGTTTTTGAGTTAGACTGTCAACACACACAGACAAATACACGCAAAGACCATTTTGCAGGACATGGTAATTTCGACTCAGGGGAGCTCAGTACGTTTATTTCCGTTGAAAACTCAGATTCAAGAAATTAACAAATCATTAACTTTAAGAAAATTTATCACCGACCTTAATTTAACTTCATCATTATTTAAAATATCTGATAGTTTTGGTTTGAGTCCTAATTTAGCTAAGATTGAGACGTAATAGTTTTTTTTATTATTATTAAACACTTTATTCAGAAATATTACAATTTGTCACAGTTTAAGAACAATTATAATAGAGTTCCGAGATTGCATTCATACCGTATATACAAAAATATAAATAAATAAAGTAATAACAAAAGAATAAGAAAAAAGAACAAAAGAGTAAAGAAAAAAAAATATATACACATAAGTAAATAAAAATAGAAATAAAAGTAAAACAAACACCTTATATAAAACATACCTATATACATTATTTACAATTTGCCAGGTGTTCTCCGAACCAATCCTGTCCCCTCCACATGTGGAGGGAAAAGGGAGGCTTAGGAGATCCCTACGCTTCTCCCTCAGCCACTTCACTGGTATTTTAAACCAGCGGAGGATAAGACGTAATAGTAACACTTATAATAAATGTGGCTGATTGTGAGAGTACTGTAGCAGTGTTGGCATTTTGGTGCTGGCTGTTTACTTATCAGGTTGTTTATTTACTTCAAATTAAAAGTCTTAGCTCTTTGCTTTATCTTTTTTTTTTTACGATTGCTATGTATATCGATTCATTCAATCAATGAGGGAATTACCTATTGACAGCAAAAGAGACCCACAAGTCCACCATGTCCTTCGCCATTTGCCTATCCGACTCAGTTTCTTGCGAGTTCATTTTTTCCATCGCAAAAACATACATGATGTCATCTGCGTGGCACACACCTGTAATATATTTATAATATATATTTAATTATAACTATTTTGTCAAGGTTATTTTATTAATAAAAATATACAATGGAAAAATATTTTAAATGAAATTTTTCTACCTAATTCTTTGGTACCTCCGAAACCAACAGAGAAGCTGTTCTCTCCCATATAAGAGAATCGATATAAGTAGACCGGAGAAGAGTATAGGTTAGAGTGGATTTTGGCAGCTTTGATGATTCCGTGAAGGAATAATCTATCGCCGAGTAACTGAAACAAAAAAATATCATAGCATTGTCGTATTTTGGATCTTTCCTACACAAATTTCTTTTCATTTTAATGATTTAATAGTTAATAACAGTTCCTTAAATATGTGACCAGAAAGTAAACATAACCTAAAAAAGAATAAAATGTAACGCTATAAATACGAAATTATTAAATGTGATCTATCATTTTGTTTAACAATCCATATCTCTGTAGAGTCATTATTATTTTCTTGTCCCTTCCTAAAGCGGCATGCAGTTCAAATAAATTCATTTATACATTTGAAATAAAGTTATTTCATGAAGTTATATGAATGGACTACTCGTTCCAAAATTTTAATAAAACAGATATTTGTAATCTCATCTATGAATTCCATAATATATTTAAGCAATCATTCATAACTGTGAAATTACTAAAGTGAAAAAAAATTACACTGGTCTGTTTAAAGTATAAATTTTTTTTTAAATAGTAATAGAGGCTGCGTTCTCCACCCGTTGTAGGAACAGATAGATAAGAGAAATGTTAGAAGATATAAGTGCTATAGCATAGAATATATTACAAGGAAATGATCCAAAATAGAACCGCTTGAAAGAACTAGTCAATCAATATCTTACAATATGAAGGGAAGGAAGGGAGTTGAGGTAGGCGAGAACAATCTTAGTAGTAGACGTAAGAGATCATATAATAGTAGGAATATATAGTAAGGCACAGGACAGGCGGATATACGGGGGGGAGGGAAGTTTTCGGGCTGAAGCCCCCCCGCCCTAATGGTAAAATATAATCTTGTTTTATGAAAAAAATATTTAAAAAAAGCATTATTGTTCGTTTGATTACATTTGATTGGACCTCAAGAATCCCTTAAGCACCTTTTCATATAGGTACTTAGTTTCTTTCTTTTTCTTCCAAAGTAATTATCATAATATATATATATATATATATATATATATATATATATATATATATATATAAAATCTTTCGGGCTGAAGCCTCCTCTAAAATTAAATCCTGGATCAGTAAGTGTAGTAAGGGAAAGTATTACACGTGTGATAATTTTCGAATTTTAGTTTTCAACAGAAATACATGTTTTAATAAAGGAAATACAGATCCTCTGAATCGAAATAACCAAGTCCCACAAAATGATATGTGTGTGTGTGTGAACAGCCTCGCTCAAAAACGGAAGGTCGTACGAAATTTAAATTGTATATTTAAGGTTTTTATATGGTTCCAATGTGACAGCAACTTTTTCTTTAAAATTAGTAAACCGAAAATGCCTTTTCATATCATACATTTTACACATTTTTACGATTTTCTCAAAAACTGCTCTAACAATTTTGATTAAAGTTGTTGGTCAATCCCTATTGATGTAGCTTCACAGGGCTTAAATGCCCAATATTCAAAATGTCTTCCTCTAACGTACCTTTAATTTGATTTATTAAAGCTTCAAGCTTCAGCTCGTTTAAAATGCACTTTAAAAATTTTATAATAGTCCAAAAATTGCCAGAAAATAATTTGTATTCATGTAGAGCGGAAAGTGAAAGTTGTGTGTTGCGTGCGCCATATTTAAAAAAAAAAAATTACCTCTCTGTCTTAGAAAGGACGTTAACTTCCCTTGAAATGCAAACGAAGTATGTATATTTGTTGAATATATTGTGAGTACAAATAAATCCTATACCCTTCTGAAATATAATATTTATTTTAATATAATGGGTTTTATTTTTGTTAATTTCTAAACGGATTACTATTAGGCTTAAAGTAATGCTCACATTGACAAAATTAGCAACTCCTTCCTTTGTATCGAGATCTACATCGTAATATTCTTTGATTTTTTGGCTGATTTCTAGCTTAGATTCTTCTGAGGGTGCTGCGTAATTGTAATCCAGGACTGAAGGCAAAAGTTCATCCCAACGAGCGCTCATCTCTTTTAAATTTTCAGTTTTACCCACGATCTCTGAAATATACAATAAATAATCAATGATCAGATTTTTTTGCATTTTTAAAAATAAATAAACGACTTCATCCATTTTCACGATATATTACTAACAAAATAATAAAAATAATACTAACATAATAATATTAATAATAAATATACGGCAAAGAGAAGAGCACGTAAGGTATGGCAGACTAACAGACTTCCCGCAAATAAACGGACATTTAACAGAGTGAATATTGGCTCCTTTACTCTACATTATCTATACGTATGGCATACCTATCACCTCCGAAACATTGACTGCTTCTTACACTGAGGATACAACAATTTTAACAAAATCGTTGTTAGGACGTGTTTTTGTTGATTTTTGTGTATTGTTGGTTTTTTGTCCTTCTCTTCTTCCCCTTTTAGACTATACGGGTTTTCTCAGGCCAGGGGTGAGGTCAGGGGATAAATACCTGAGTTAAAGGCTCCCCAACCGATACGCTAACTCGTTATTATTTCGTCAAATCGTCTTCAATTGCTCACTCCACCAGTGTGGGTGGAGTGTCCGAATGCGCTAACGTGTGTGCACAGCACCGCCGTTGCTCGGCAACCTGATCTATGAGATAATGGATTTAAAATAGTCACGAGTTCCTAGTTATAGAGTTCGCGTACCGATGCCGAGGAAGTCTTTTAAATCCCCGCCCACACCTCCTGGGCCGGGCAAACCCCGTATAGCTTTAAAGGGGAGGACACAAAAAAAAAAAAGGTGCCACTTCGCCCCTGTGTTCTTCACATATCATCCAACCGCCGTCTGTACTTCCTTGCCACCTTTTTATACTAAGTCATCAGAACTCAGCGGCCTTCCTATATTTTTCACAGCCTACAATTCAAATATTCCATTCAATCCCGTCTCACTAGATCTCGTACCTCCGGCCTCTATCCACCTCCCCACCGAACTGCAGCGTTTGACAAATCCTTTATAATTCAAGCCGTCTCCTTCTGGAATACCATCCCTCCCTATATCCGACATGTACAATCAGTTTCCTCATTTAAATCTCTCCTTTTTAACCACCTACTCCTTTCCCAAGCCGATTGATCATGACATGTAGATAAGAGAACTTTTAAAGTTCTCCCAGAAATGATTTTCTTTACTTATGCTATTTTATTTTCCCACGTTTGTATTATACATATCAGAATGTTTTTAGTGTAATAGTTCTATTTTTGTTTTATTCTTTTTTCAAAATCTTAATCTTAATAATAAATGTAAATAATTAATTTTATGTATGGCCACACTATTTATTCTGTATCTGTAATTTGTCCTAAAGAGACAACAGTCCCAGGATAATAAAAAAATATTTTCATTTCATTTCATTTCATTTTATTTCATTCATGTATTGGACTACGGACAAACCCCGAAAGAAATTATATATTCCAAAAACAAAAACGTTTTTAACCTCCCTCAAGAATACAAAGCTTCTCTATGGTTGGTAGTAAGAAAGCAAAACATAAGAAGATTAAGCAAGCGAAATAGATAAGAAAGAACACGTGTGTGATTATTAACAATAGAAAAAAAATTATTATTAATGTTCTTACCTGCACCAGGGTATAGCCCTTCATCTTTGTCGAATGTGAAGAGTATAGGGACGTCCGCAGCTTTTCCTTGTAATAGGAGATTTATAGGAGTGTCTGGAAGGAAAGCATTGTGACTTGGGGGCTCCACAACCAAAGCGTAAGGAGAGAACGGGTTGTAAAGCCAATTCTAAAATTTGAATTAAAAATAAAGTATTTTTAAAATATATTTACTAAAATATGTATTAACTAAAAATATAACAAGTTAATGAAATGAACACTTTTAAAGAAACAATCCATTAGTAGTACTATAATAGAAGGTCCCAAGGCCATCTTCTTTTCATAAGCCTAATAGTCCTGGAGCGCGTGGCAAAAATGTGTCTTATTTCATATTAAGGTTTGTCCTTATAAATTGTTCATATCCACAAACCTGATGAGAAAAATGCACGTCTGCCAGTATATAGCCACTGAAATACAAAATGGCGGCCATGTGAAAATTGATAGAGACCCTCCATAGGTTGTAATATATAGAGAGGGCTTATGGATATATAAAGCTACCAACCCTCTTTACATTTAATAATTATTTACAAGTATTTAATAATAATAATTTAATGTTTAAAATTTATAGTATTAATGTAATATATAGTCTTAAAACATGAAATAATAGTCAGTTATTCCATATCCGTGGATTTCAAGTCGAAAAATTGAATTTACGATTCAAAAAGTTTATTATTTCGGTTTTAAGACCGAATATATATATACACGTATATTATGCATACTTTGGCTTACATAATATACGTATATATAAATTCTGTCTCATATACAGATTAAGAGCTGTGTAGTTTCGAAAATTATGAAATGTAAGTTTTTTTATAGTTTCGGAGTATAATCCTTAAGCTATAATTGCTCTAGCATTTGAATAGTTAAAGATAAGATAGTAATGTAAGATACATTCTTAAACGAAATTTAATATTAAATAACTTTCTTCTCCATGATTTTTCGTAAATAAAAAGATAATAGTTTGGCGAGTCAAATAATGATCAAAATGAGATGCAAAAATTGTTTTTTATCGAAATTAGTGCATTACGTGGGCGGATATCACGGTAATTATAGAATTTAGCGAATAAACTAATATAACCATTTCTATTGGAAATTTTATCAGCTTTAATTTGACATACGACGTTATTCTAGATTGAACGCATAGTTTCACTGATACAAACGAAAAATCGGAAAATGTAAACTGTTTGAATCGTAAATTCAGTTTTTCTACTTGAAATCCACGGGTATGGGGTAACAGACTATTATTTCATGTCTTAAGACTGTAAATAGTATAAGTTGAAAGGGTTGGTAGCTTTATATATGTATAGGCCCTCTCTATATATACGCTTATAACCTATTTGGGGTCTCTATCTATCTTTACGTGGCCGCCATTTCTTATTCCAGCGGCCGTATGCTGGCAGATGTGCATTCTTCTCGCAGAGAGCAGTGAGGATTTTGCGAAGGATTTTGGATTACAAGGATTGGGTATGAGAAGAATTTGATGGTTTAGTAGAGCCCCAAGGCTCAACTTCATGAGTCAAAATAGGCCTTTTTCTATTCAAGTAAATGAATGTTTTATGGTTAATCGTTTCTAATACGTGTTGAAGTTCCCAGAAAAAACATGTAGTTTCTTCTTGTTTCAGTCTTGTATAAGGATTTCAAGTAATACATTTGTCCACATAGGGTCTTTGTCTAGCATTTGGGCAACAAGCGTTGTAATGTCAGTTGTAATGATCAAATAAGTATTCGGACTTACTAAAAAGTGTCTCGTCATTCCAACGATGTGTTCGGCAGGTCGGTCTCGAAGGCACCTGATCACAGATAAGGAATTTTCCGTAGGACATCCTAATCCTCTGGCCACGAAGAGCGCCTTCTCTCTGGAGTTCTCAGCAAACGTCCAAGGATTCAGGGAAGAACCGCTGGCACAAATGGCTGCCTTGAATAGACCTGAAAAGGAGTATAACTTAGGTAATTAAAAATTAAACTAGGTTTATCAAATGTTTAACCAGTGGCATAACTACTATGGAGATTGTTTGTGTTAATAATGGTTTGGGTTTCTTTATGAAACAAACTCAGACAATACAGAAACGTTTATTGTGGAAGAACACAACAAACATAGAAGCCATATCCAGGGAGTATACATTGTTGTGATCATGACGTCACATATGACAGTGCTGTCAGTAACAGTGTTGTAGGTAGAATATACAATAACAAATAACATCAATTAATTAATCCTAACAGTTTGGATTAGTAAGGATATAAACATACTAAAAGTCCATACTCCTAGGTGTTGAGCCAGATGTGAGGGGGCGCCTAGAAGATCACTTTTTTCTGGTTTTCACTTATAACTGAAAAACTAGCCATCACATCGACAAAAACGTTCTATACAAAATTAAAGCTGATAAAATTTGCAATATGACTTACTCTATACGTTTTTCGCTACCTCGCTTCATTTCCGAGATATCCATCCTCATTTAAGGCTAATTTTGAAGAAAAACAAATAATAAATTGCCTTGTGTTGATTTCTATTTTTCGGTTATATCAGGAAAATTATCGATCACATCGACAAAGACGTTCTTAACAAAAGTAAAACTGATAAAATTTGCAATATAGTTGATGATATATTTTTTTTCTCGCAATCTTGTATTTGATGAGATAATTCTTGATTGCTCCTTTCTACGATTAAGTGGTGAAGTAAAAAAAAAATATTAATTACATTTTCTTCAAGAATATATATTAATTTACTAGTTTATCTCTAACAGTTCAAAAGTCAGATCAATTATAACTTTTTATGTCAATTCCGAGAATTTTTATAACATTTATTATAAAAATTATTTTTTTCGCGAATTCTAGGAATCGTCATATAAAGTTACGGCTGATGAAACTTTCGAACCATAGAGGATAAACTTGTAAATTAATATATATCCATAAAGTAAATTTAATCATTAAAAACTTACTTCCTGGTGACTTAATCGTAAAACGAAGCAATTAAGAGTTAGATAGTTAAATACAGTAAAAAACATGAGATAAAAAATGTTTTTTTACACACATTAGCGATAGTTGAGGACGAATATCTCGGAAACTAAAGGAGATAGCGAAAAAAGGTATATGATCAATCATATTTCAAATTTTATAAGCTTTAATTTTGTATAGAACGTCTTTGTCAACGAGATGGATGGTTTTCCTGATATAAGTGAAAACCGAAAAAAGTGACTAGGCGCCATCCCCCACCTCTGGCTCACCACCCAGGAGTGGAAACGTCTAGTATGTTTACCTCCTTACTAGTCCAAACAAAATCCCAAAGTCAAAAATCGTATCAGCGCCATTTCCTTCTATACCCCATTTCCGAGCATTCGTTGATGAGACTAAAAGAGCACTTGGCCAAGAAAAAAAAATAGTTCTTCACAATATTTCTCACTTCTTCTTCGGCGCATACTATTTATTTTCAAGTTAATTTATTATCAGCCATATTTACACCAATTATAATAAATAGTCTTCCCCTACTCCTATATGAATAACCAGTCACTGAATAGAAATGAGATGGATGACATGTGGGTGACTTATGAACAAGGTAATTTTAACTTATTTGAATCATTTAATAGGAAAGAATGGAGTAATAATAATGTTGTAAAATAATTAAAGGTGGACATGACAATAATAAGGAATTTTATTATGAGTAGACGCTTGCAATTCGCATAAGTGAAGAGGACAGGTACAGGATGGGTATTTTAGGTATATAATAAGAATCTTTATAATTTGAAATATGTTAAAGTTAATATACGATTGTAAATGAAAAATGTTTTTTAGACTTGAAAATGGCTCGACGATCCGAAACGTCATAATTGTATGAGTAGTCATTAAGTTGACAAATTTTTTTAAAAATTGGTGTAAATATGGCTGATAATAAATTAACAAAAAAAAATAGTTCATCTATTTAATAACAAACATATTAACCTAATAACAAACAAATTAAAAACTGGTCCAAATTATTTTTAACGTGCAATAATAGGATTAGATAAAATGATTTTATTATTTGTTTACTTGCAATATATGTTTATTAAGAAATAATTTATTTTGCCAAACTGAAGAGCACTAAGATTGGAAACAATGGCTATGTGAAGCTATGCTGTGCTAAGCTATGATGTGCTAAAAGCATGCTATAGTAATGACCTTTGGGTCTTCTATTTATTTTATTTTTTTCGTTTATCCCATAACACCCAAGAAAGGCTTGTTCAAGAGATAGAACGAAACCTATTCTAGCCGGATTGAGAAGGTCGAGATTCATTTATTAAGTTCGCAACGAAATGATTTTCAATCCTCATAGACCGGGTCCAAACCGGCTAGACTCAAGAATATTAAAGCGGTTTGCGCATTAAAATGCTAGACCACCATAGCCTGTGGGTTTGATTGAATAAATCCGAAAAATAAAGAAGAACTCACCCTTACTAAGAGGTGACAGCACATGGTAATGAACACTGGCAGATCCTGCGGAGAATCCTGCGATCGTGACGCTGTTGGGATCTCCACCGAAGGCCGCTATGTTCTGTTTTACCCATTTCAAGGCGAGTACCTGATCCTTCATGCCGTTGTTACCTGGCAAGATGTCGTCACCAAGGCTCATGAAGCCTATAGATAGGAACAAAATAAGTATAGGTTATAATTATCTATCAATTCTTGATAATATTGAGAACATCTTGTATCATCACCTAGAGGTCCGAGCCTGTAGTTGAGGGTGACTAAGACGATATCTCGGTCCATCAGAAGTGAACCTCCGAACATATTCGAAGACAAGAACATGAACGCTCCACCGTGAATGAACACAATGACGTCCAGAAGTTTTCCGTCTGTGCTTCTTTCATCGCTGATCTATAAGCAAATATACAATCAAACAAGAAAGAAAACAAAAAAAAAAGAAAAAAAAAAAGAAAAGCAAGTCTCTTAGCTAGTACCCAACTAGTCTTAAGATAAGGATCCTATGGATCCATGCAGGGGTGCCCAGAAGAGAGTTTCATGGCGCAATTTGTCCCATCAAAATTTATGAGAAGGGCACTTTTTGAGAGGTTTTTACAATTTTTGAGAGGGGCAAATTTCGATTTTATGAATTTTTAAAATGAAAAGCTTCAAATAAAAAGACAAATGTAAGCATGGAACAGACCGCAGTATATGTAATTGTAATCTCCGAATATTTAAATTCTACCTTCGTTGGCACTTTATTTATTTATTTAAAACCCTCCCGTCTTTAAGGCAATGAGTATTATGATGTTAGGCATGTCAGCTTAACATCTCACTACTGCAAATATGTGTGATTTTCCTATACTTTTATACCGATGGTCTAGTAGCTCCTAACTTCTTAGATTGAAATGGGCTGAGCCCGTCGCGGCTTTCCAGTGATTAACTGAGGGAAATCGTTTTCTGTGAGAATGTATAGACCGGTTTTCCTCAGTAATTTAGCCCTTAGTTCTTCAAAGGCGGTGCGGTCGACTATGATGTGTTCAGCAGTCTCCGGGACACCACTGCTAGGGCACAGGGGGTTTATGTCCATCCCATAGCAATGAAGCTTTGCTCGAAGCCTGTGAGAAATTGACGGAGCCTGTAGTCCGGGAGGATCCACTTTGCTAATAAATGTAACTGGATGGTGGGGAAGTACTTCGTCAAGGTAAATTCTTTTGGGGTTATCACCCACCGCCAGTTCCATTCTTCCATAATGTTCTCCCATGGAATGTATTTCCATTTGAGAGGATTTTCGTCAATTCTAATCTTAAGGTTTCCCGGCAGACCTGCTGAGCCGTTTTTCATAACGTATGGTTCATCATGTCTTTCGTGTGCACTGTTATTTTTTTATTTTGTTTATTGATAAATATTACAATCTGTCTCAATAAAGGACATTTATAATAGCGTTCTGAGTGCACATTCACACCGTATTTACAAATTTAAAAAAATAAAAAAAATAAGCTAACTTCAAATAATATAAAGCTACAAAAGAACAAAATAAAATATCATAGTGAGAAAAAAAAAAAGTAATGAAAATAAACATCTTAGACGCAGGCATACCTATTTACACTATTTACAGTCGGCCATAGGAACTCCGAACCATACTTATCCCCCCACACGTGGAAGGAAAGCAAGGCTTCAGGAGATCCCTGCGTTTCTTCAAACATTTCACTGGCATTGAAAGCCAGCAGAGATTGAGTAAGTGCGCTACAACCACGGACACTCATGACTTGAGTGGAGAATCTGGCCATTGCCAGAACTCCATCGCACTGTTATTAAGAAGAAGAGAGGAATAAAATATCTTAGGAGAGATTAGGGGAAGGTTTATGCGCCATCGGCCTTAGGTGTATAAACACCCCTGGATCCATGTCAGTTGACAGTGCTGCAAGAAATCTCAACGTCAATGTGTAAGGTCTCATCAAAGGCAAATAAAAGATAATTTACGATTTCCCCAAGAACTTTAGATTGGAATGACAGTATGTTTTTTTTTTCCGTCAGACTCCGATGAGTAGCGCTCGGGTAAAGTCTGTTGGGGTCGACTAACTGAAATGTTTTTGCGTATGGATAAAAATATCTCACAAACTAAAATATCTATTTTCTGATTAAATTTATCTTACGATCAAAGTAGAAAGCAAAGTTGGCCGAGCTCCAAATTGAATACGCCCCAATTCCAAGAGTTTTCGTCAATAAAATAGTTGTAGGGTACCATGAGATGATACTATTAACGAAGTTTCAAGCGGATGTTAATAATTCGACAAAAAGTGGTCTATACCAGGGACTTCATACTGTTACTATGTACTATATACTATATACTACTATATACTGTTTCATAATAACTACAATACTCCATACCGCTGGTGTGTAGACATTGAGGTAGAGGCAGTCCTCGGAACCCAAAACGGGGAAAGGTATTTTCACGTTAACATGCTTCAGCTGAAGACACATCGGTGGTTCCCTCGTGGCGTTATAATAGTCTCCAATCCATGGATCAGCGGGTATAGGTTCCTGGAACAGTAAAAATCCAAACTTCAAAGCTCCAAAAGAACGGTAACTTCAAATCATGGAGTTTTAGTTGACCGTAGAACAAATTATAATAAAAGTTGGATGGGGAGAGGTATAACATTAGACTGGAAAGTGAGTATTTGATCACACGGATTATTCACTTTTATTTTCACTTACCTATATATGAAACATATAGTAAGGTCACCGCAAAAACGGTGTGTGTGTGTATGTGAACAGTCTGGCTCAAAAACGAAAATTCGTACTAAAGTGAAATTGCATATTTATTGAGATGCTTCAACAACTTTTTCGTCAAAATCGGCTACCCGAAAGTGACACTTTATATCAACGCTGAAACGCATTTTTTTAACTAGAGAAACATGGAGGAATCAATATGCAAAATATTATTGTCATAATTGAAATACATGTTTTGAGGTCCCCTGATTCCAAATAACCAAGTGTCGCAAAAGGGTCTGTGTGTGTGTTAGCAGTCTAGCTCAAAAACGAAAAGTTGTACGAAACTGATATTACGTATTTAAGGTTTGTATATGGGCCGGATGTGATAGTAACTTTTTCGTTAGAATCGGCTAACCGGAAGTGCCACTTTATATGAACGCTGAAACACATTTATACAATTTTCTCAAAAACGGCTATAACGGTTTTGATCAAACTCGGTGTATCATTGTATAATTAAGTGGTCTTTAATATCATTTAGGTCTTATCCCCGTTGATGTCACTTGACAGGGGTTAAATGCCCAATGTTCATATATGTCTTCCTCTAAAATACCTTTAGTATGGTTTATTTTAAAAAGTTAATCATTTCACATTATTCATAGTTACAAAAGAATGCTAAATATAACTTTTGAAAGAATTTGATAAGACAATAAAAGAGAAAAAAAATAAAAATGCAGAAAAATAGACTGTAGCAAACGAATGTACTGATTTCAATGAAACTTCGCTATTACGTATTTAAGATAGGTATATGCCTTAGATGTGACAGCAACTTTTCCCTCAAAATCGGCTTTATATCAATGCTGAAACGCATTTCTTTAACTAGAGAAACATGGAGGAATCAATATGCAAAATATTATTGTCATAATTTTTATTTAAGAGAACGACCAATTTAATTTATTTGTCAACCGGTGGTATGAATTGGCACTTAATAAGATATCGATTTTGAAGAATGAATATGTATTGAGTATTACTAACCATTAACACTGGTATGAGATTAGCACGAACTAGAGTGTTCTGAAACACACGTTGTTCTACGATATATCTATTTTTTTGTTGTTAATTATTCACCAAAAACTATTAATCTTGTAAAAAATGCTTTCTGAAAAATTAAACAGTAATATGATTATGGAATATCACGTGAAGTATTAAATACGTTGTTTTAAATGTTTACTTGTCTACCATTATCCCAATTTTATGATTTTCTCAAAAACGGCTCTAATATTTTTAATTAAATTCATGATATCAGTGTAGAATTAAACATTCTTTAATATAATGTAGGTTTTATTCTCATTGGTGTTATCTAACAGGGCTTAAATGGCTAATTTTCAATATGAGTTTTCTATTAAGTAGCTTTAATTTTTTTTATTTTAAACAATTAACCATTTCACATTGATCTCTAATATAAAAAATAGTTAAATATAAAAGAATTTTATAATTAACTAAAGGAGAAACAAGAGATCGTAACAGACAATAGTTGTAATTGAAGAACCAAAGTAACATGAGCTTAATATAATACGGACTCCGACAATATTATGTAATTTACGTATGTGGTTTTCCTAAATGTTTTCATTGGTATTATTAGTATTTAATATTTAATTAAAAATTATATATATTACAACTATATAAACATTAATATTTATATATATATAAGGGTATTCAAACAAATAAAAATATTCACAAAGAAACATAAAACAATATAGCGTTTATAATTTTTACTTTCACTTCCCCATTGTCTCAAAATACTTATTTCTGCCAAGAAGAGGGTGATAAGTGAAAGTTATGTGATCCGCGCACCGCACCAGATCTTTTTTTTTATATCCATATTTTTGACTCATTATTTTTTTTTTTTTTTAGGTGATGAGTTTTATAAATAAGCTAATGTCTATTAGTAAATCCTCTGAAAGAATTTTTGTATATATTTTTTTCAGATGAAAATTTACAATATATTGTAAAATAAGATTTTATTCCTTAATGGATGGCTGAAGAGGCGAAAATTTGAATAAATTTAAAATAAAGTATTTTAATTATTAAGGCTAAAAAATTATTTTTTTCTACGAATAAACATTTTTTTTTTTAACTTGATACTTCAACTCACACCTGTCAGAAGTTCCTACAATGTCAAGATGAAGAAATTGGTCTTGGAATAGGCGTGAAGGAGAGGAGTACCCAGCGGCGTCCTTCCTTTCTTGAGCGTAATATTTCTAGTTAGTGGAGGAGATCCCTCATCCAGCTTCTTTTAAGCCTCCTTCGGGTGCTATCGGGCATGTTAGTTGAGGCCATGCCTCGAATCAGTGAGTTTGTATGTCCGTGTAAGTTATTATGAAATCGTTTGTAGTATGTTCGTATGCGGTCGTTAACTGTTGGCATCTGTAAGTCTTTATGTAGAGTAATGTTACTGACGTATCAGGGAGCCTTGGTGATAGTCCTGAAAGTTTTAGATTGAAAAGTATGTAATTTACGTATGTGAGTCTTTTTGGCTGTCCCATATATCTGTAAAGCGTAGGTCCAAATAGGCTTGAATAGGTAAGTATATGTATTCAATTTCTGTCTCAGTTTTAATTTCGAATTTCTTAAAAGGAGTGAGTACAATAGGCGTAGTCTTAGGTTTAGAGTTTTTGTTTTGTTTTTGATATGTTGGCCCCATGTCATTCATCTGTCAAAGGTCAGTCCAAGATATTGAACTTTGTCTGTCTGAGGAATTTGGATATTGTCAAGGTAAATAGGGGAGCAAGTTTCACGTCGAAGGGTAAAAGTGATATGTAGTCTTGGTTGAGTCGAATTTTCCACAGTTTGCACCAGTCGTAGAAATTGTTTAGATGATATTGTAAAGTCTGTGAGGCGTATGTTGAATTTTGATGTCTTGTCAAGATTGTTGTATCGTCTGCGTAAGTCGCGGTCAGAGTATCGAGAGGATCTGGAATATCATATGTGTAAATAATAAACAACAGAGGAGCGAGTACTGACCCCTGAGGCACTCCTGCTACGGCTGGTTTAATGGTAGATAGTTCTGTACCTTGGCGAACAGAGAAAAATCTGTCAGAAAGAAAAGATTGAAGAATAAGATAGTAGGTTGGAGGGAGTATAGTCTTAAGTTTGAAAAGAAGTCCCTGATGCCGGACTCTATCGAACGCTTGAGCAACATCCAGAAATACTCCTGTTGCATATAATTTGTGCTCTAGTGCTGTCGCAATGTAGTCTGTCACTCGGTGTAGCTGATGAATGGTTGAGTGGTGTGAACGAAATCCAAACTGATGTTCAGGTATTATGTTTTCAGTAGTCAGTAGGTCAAGAAGTCGTATGTAGAGAAGTTTCTCAAAGATTTTAGAGCATAATGGGAGCAAGCTGATGAAGGAATGTCAGTGTTTTTGTGAGGTTTGTGAATCATTTTTATGAATGAATATTTCTATTGTAAGGGGAATTTAGTCGTTCTGAGTATTGCGTTATAAATTGATGTTAGGTATACTAGAGCTTTCTTTGGCATTTTCTGGAGCACTTGAGCATACGAATAAACATATTATTATTATTATTATTTTTCGAATTTTATACTTTCTTGGCTTTTGCTGGAAATATTCAACAATCATGGTCAGAGGCATAAAATTCAATCTATGTTTAAAATTTTTTTAAAGATGTTCGATTTTTTTTAGAACTACTTTCTGCCCTTTTTCTTATTATTATTATTGAATATATATTTTTTTATTTAAATGAAGGATGGTTGGATTGATCAGTCAAAATAAAAATTGCAAAAATAAATATTAGTATTTATTTAAATATTATCACCCCCACCATCCATCTCTTCATTTGTTCACTACAATCAACCGTCAACCCAGAATTATAATTTTTTAATGATTATCGCAACTGTACAATAAAGTTTATATAATGGAAATGGCTGCGACAGTTACTACCATGACTGCTACAATCATCGACACTCAAGAAACCTACCTTGAACCTGTGCTTGCCGACGGGAGGTTTGGCGTAGGGTATCCCCAGGAAGGCGGCGTAGGGACGTCCTCCAACACTCTTGTCCCAGAAACCCTTGAGAGTACCCTGCTGCACAAGTACCTCGGGTTGGCTAGCAAGTACCAATGTTTGGTACAAAACCAAGGTACACGAGACCACTAAGTACAGCTGCATACCGTCCACTTAACTAACGTGGCTGTATCCCTCTATCGTCGAGAGGGGAATAAAAACCTTAAATTCATTTTGTATCTTATCAAATTTTAAAAGAGAGTAAACATCTAAATTAATGAAAAAAAGCTCTTATCAGTAAAAAGTAAATTTCTAATTCTAAAAACTCAACTTTTTAGTTTTTAATAGTGTTTATCATAATTTATTATGGTTATAAAATGATTGTATGTATTCTTATTAACGAACGTCATTCTTTTTTTTAACTTCTTCTTTTGATTTTAAAATGATTTTTAAATATTCCTCTTCACTGCTTCATAGTATGATAAAATAGAATAATGCAAATACGTAAATTTCGTATATACATATTATTATGTTTTAAGTAACTTATAGAAATAATGAAATAAACTCCTGAACTAAAAAACTTATCATATTTAAAGTTTTGTGTAGATCTTAAAGTCTACTATCAATTTTCTAAATATTTCCCAATACTTACGAGACACTCCGTATATGCAGTGGCCATGAAATGCCGAGGTTTTCTAGAAAATCTGTCTCTTAAAGCTAATAGTTTTTCAGAATATTGATATTTTATTGTCCTTTTTTCGGCACTATATAGGACTTTTCCTAATAGAAATGCGTATATATATATATATATATATATATATATATATGTTATATTTTTTTTTTTACTTTCACTTACGTATATATATATTTTTTTTTTTCTGTTCTATCCTACCTCGCCTTTTTAGGCTATACGGGATTTTCCCGGGCCGGGGGGTTAGGGCGGGGAATTTAAAATCTCCTCTGGCACCGAGATGCGAACTCGTACTTTTCTTGTCTCTCAAATCTTCATATATCTGGTTGCCAGGCGACTCGCGGTGCAGTGCACACGCTTTAGCCTATTCGGCCACCCCGCCCCACACTTAGGTATATATGTAATGTATAGTAAGGGTAAGTATTGCGATCGTGAAAATTTTTAAATCTCAGTTTTCAACGGAAATACATGTTTTGAGGTTCCCTGAGTTCAAATAACCAAGTATCGCAAAATGGTGTGTGTGTGTGTGTGTTAACAGTCCAGCTTATAAACGAAAAGTAGTACGAAACTGATATTAAGTATTTATGGTTTGTATATGAGCCGGATGTGATAGTAACTTTTTCGTTAGAATCGGCTAACAGGAAGTGCCACTTTATATGAACGCTGAAACACATTTATACAATTTTCTCAAAAACGGCTCTAACGATTTTGATCAAACTCGGTGTATCATTGTATAATTAAGTGGTCTTTAATATCATTTCGGTCTTATCCCCGTTGATGTCACTATACAGGGGTTAAATGCCCAATGTTCATATATGTCTTCCTCTAAAGTACCTTTAATATGGTTTCTTTTAAAAAGTTAATTATTTCATATTATTAATAGTTACGAAAGAATGCTAAATATAACTTTTGAAAGAATTTGATAAGTTAATAAAAGAGAAAAAAAAAAATAAAAATGCAGAAAAATAGACTGTAGCAAACGAATGTACTGATTTCAATGAAACTTCGCTATTACGTATTTAAGATAAGTATATGCCTTAGATGTGACAGCAACTTTTTCCTCAAAATCGGCTTTATATCAATACTGAGACACATTTATTTAACTAGAGAAACATGGAGGAATCAATATGCAAAATACTATTGTCATAATTTTTATTTAAGCGAACGACCAATTTAATTTATTTGTGAACCGGTGGTATGAATTGACACTTAAATAAATCGATTTTGAAGAATGAATATCTATTGAGTATTACTAACCATTTTCAAGGTTGTTAACACTGGCATGAGATTAACGCGAACTTGAGTGTTCTGGTTTGAAACACACGCTGTTCTACGATGTCTATTTTTTTTTTTTAAATAATTCACCAAAAACTACTATTCAGTCTCATAACAAATACTATCTGAAAAATTAAACAGTAATATGATTGTGGAATATCACGTGAAGTATTAAATACATTGTTTTAAATGTTTACTTGTCTACCATTATCCCAAGCGGATTTCTTCAATTCTTTATTGTGGATCATTATTTATGTTTACAATGAATTTATGCAATGCTAACTGATTTCATAATCGGTTTAAAACGAATTCTTTACAGATGAAGAGTTGAGCCATACTTTTTCCGTATTCTAAAGTTGATCAGGAACGACTAATCAGGAAAACAACTTTTTAAATTCCAAGGGCAAGCAGAACCGATAAATGTTAAGATTTCCGGATGTATGAAATGGAGAGATATCTTGAAACTGATAAGCACTTCATTGTTTATCGAAATATTTTGAGTGCCTGCAGGCAAAATGATTACAGTTTCACTTGTGCCAAAAATGTCCTACCTCCATAAGTTATGCTGTGCTTTTTTACTCTTTGTGTTACCATTAGTTTGGACATCCAGCCAACCTGAGGTAACTACTGGACAAGGGGCAATCAGGGGTTTGTACAAGACCTCCTACATAAGTAAGAAGCCATACTCAAGCTTCGAAGGAATACCTTTTGCCAAACCGCCACTAGGAAAAAGAAGGTTTAAGGTAAGCCTTTTTTTATTAATATGAATTTAATTTAGATTTTATTCATTTTTAACAATGGGGGAGCTCCTAATCCTCATCATTATAGCCCTTATACAACATGAAATAGAATAATAATCTTGAAGGTAGAAAATACTAAAACATTAACATTATTGTCATTAGATGTTAATGTTAAACTTTAGTGTCCGATTCGTAGTCTTGCTATTATTATCTCTTCTATTCTTTTCAACTCAAGTTCCGCTCCATTGGGAGCGATAAAGGGCTCTATCACTCTCAACTTAGTACCTTTTAAAATATGACAGAGACCCTGTCTTTTTTCAAGAGCCTTTCTCTTTACAAAAGCTACAATTTCCTTTGTAAAAGCATTCCCTACTGGTGCTTCTTGATTGCTTTTTTTGTCATGATATCGGTTAGCTCATTACTTCCAATACCTGAGTGACCTGGTAACCACAAAAATTGTATGTTACATCCAACACTCTCCAAGGTTTTTATAAGTGTAACTGTTTCTGTGACTAATGAGTTTTTAAAATTTCAAAAAAATGAATTTTTCATAGCCTTAAGTGCAGATTCTGAATCTGTACGTGCTAGTAAATACTTTCTGGTTATTACAGTTTAGATTAATGGCAGCACAATTAATCGCAAACATTTGTGCATGGTAAAACATTCAATATGGTAAGAGATACAATTTCGATTTAAAATAGTTTTTCATGAAAAAAATACTAATATATATCTAATATTTTAATCTTACAAAATTACATTTTTATATTAAATAAATTTCCAAAAACGCTTATAGTAAGCTACAATCTATATAGATTGTATTTTATTTCTTTAATGGAAATATTTCTTTCTTAATTATTTTAAGCTTTCTTAATTATTTGTAAATACAATAATGTTACAGTTCGCACATTTCACTCACATTCAGTTTTCTTCTTTTGTAGACATATACAGTGGTGAATTCAAGGAGGGACTTTAAGGCTGAAGCCCTGCTCCCTCCCTCCCCCCTAAAAAAAATGATCTTTAATTATAAATTTTTTAATGAATCACAATACTTTCTCTCAATATATATTTTGTATATGGGTCAATAAAAGTAAAAAAGATATTTCTTCTTGTAAGAATATTACATTGGTGTATATATTTCTACGCATACCATCATGTATTAAAATACATAATTACCTCAAGAAATAAAGAAATTAAGAATTAGATTACAGTGTAAGTACAAATTTACAATATAGAATATTTTCAATAGAAATGTGTTATATTAGAATAAATAAATAACTAAAGATAATAGAAATAAATTGAGAATTGAGTAATAAACCTTTATCAGGTTATCAGATGAGAACTAATATTTATAAATCTTTCTTTTCCCACAAAATGTAATGAATTCTCAACAAATATTCAAAATTTAATAAATGTCAATAAATGGTTTTCCAAAGCTAATTCTTTATTACAAAGTAGAATTTTTTCAATACACTTTAAATTATGAAATATAGTAATAATAGTCCTCTTATTATAGCTGCCAATCATTATAATTTTGTAATGAATTATTAGGAGTGGATCGTAGAACTTCGATTCAAGGGTATGCGTTCAGCTGGCCTTGATTAAGTATTTGAATTGAAGTGTACCTGCTAGGAATTGTGAACTATATGTGGAGACTCAATGGACAATAAATAATACTGGCAGTCTGGTGTCAACATAATAATAATAAGTTGGTTATCTTCTGTTTTATCTTGAAGGCCAATATTTGAGTTTCATTTTTATATGAAGAGTGGAATTACTACTGGTAACCTTTTATTACATTGTTCTCCATTTTCAAACATCACAATATTTATCACCTATTATTTTGAATATATCTTTATTTGTACTATTTTCATGTAATTGACTTTTTCTATTATGACTGAGAATATAAAGAACAAAGTTACAAAACAGATGGACTAATGTAATAAAATATTAAATTTAAAATGATAGACATACAACTAACAACTAATAAATATTAATATTTATAGCAACGTCATATAACAGTATTGATTCTGTAAATTGTTAATAAAAACTATTACTCTTCAAATAGTCTTGGAATGTTTTATTTTATAAAATAAATTGCATAGCATCGCATCCATCTAAAAATGTTTAAAACATCATTGAATCAGGGGTGCCCAGAAGGGGGTTTCATGGCCCAAGTTGCGCCATAATAATTTATGAGGGGGGCAAATTTTGAAGGGGTTTTCAATTTTTATTAGGGAGGGTCACATGTCAACAAGGTTATGAATTTTAATAATGAAAAGTATCTAATAAAAAAACAAGTGGAATTATGGGACAGACCGCAGGATGTGTAATTGTATATATTCTATGAATATTTAAATTCTACTTTCATTAGCACTGTTTTTAAGAAGCAGAGAGCAATAAAATATCTTGGGAGGGGTGGGGGAAGGTTTATGCACTATCGGCTTTGGGGAAATGGGCACCCCTGCACCTAAAGCTTCTAATTTAATAAAGTAATACTTTA